CAATGTTGGTCTTCGCATGTGCTCCTGGGATGACAGCGTTGTCAAGTACTATCTCCTTGGAAATCCGTTTGTTTACTGGGGAAGCACGGCTAGCCTGGGTATCTTTGGGATTTTAATCCTCTGGTACCTCGTGCGCTGGCAGCGAGGTTACCGTGAACTCAATCAAGCTCACATTGACCACATCCATTACTCCGGTCTGTATCCCGTCATCGGTTGGGTTCTCCATTATGTCCCGTTTGCTGTCATGGCACGAGTGACCTACGTTCACCATTATTATCCGGCTCTTTACTACGCCATTCTCACGTTTGGTTTCTGCGTTGACTGGCTTACGCAAAAATTGAATGCCAAGGCGTTTTGGCTCACTTATGCCTTGCTATACGCGATGATTATCGGCACGTTCGTGTACTTCCGTGTGATTGTGTTTGGCATCGAAGGCTCCAGTCAACAATGGGCTCACTTGAGTTGGCTGAGTGGCTGGAGGATTTCCAACTAATCATAACTCTATGCTTGCCACTCGTGCCATACTGGTTTTACATTTCTCCTCCACTCGATTATATCTCTGATTTCAGCATTCTGTATTCAGCCAAGGAATTCATTAGTTGAGCCTATTGCTATTTGTCGATGCCATGTTATAAATTATATTGTCGCTAGAGTCCTTTATGATGGCTACAGTGGGGGGGGCGGAGTGACCGCCTAAATTTGATGTAGAGCCCTAATACCTCTATCCAAATCAACAACAACCTCCTGCCCAATTATTTCCGCTTCTGCGCATGGCATCATTCAAGCCCAGAGTAACAGTTTGGGGTACACCTGAGCTTGAACCTCCTGTGGCACCGAACCCTTTCACACCACTTCGACGATCGTTCAGGTCGTATTTACCTGCTTCAATATTGCGATATATCCTCTCGGCGACTTCGAGGAAGGCACGCTCAACACCCTCACCAGACTTCGCACTCGTCTCCACGTAATGCACAACATTATTTAAGCGGCACCATTCTTCTGCCTCATGCTTGGGCACACGCTCCCGATTGACGTCAGGACCATCTCCGACCAAATCACTTTTGTTGCCAACTAGAATAACCACAATACCCTCCTCTGCAATCTGACGTAGGTCTTGGAGCCATTGGATACATGAAGCGAATGTGGAAGGTCGCGTGATATCATATACCAGGAGAGCGCCGGAAGCACCGCGGAAATAGGAGCGGGTAATAGACTTGTAAGTTTCTTGCCCAGCCGTGTCCCAGAGTGATAGCTTCATTTTCTTCTGAACTGCAGGTTCCTGTGGCTTCCGGGGAGGACTAGGAAGACCAGAAGCAGGCTGATCCTTTGAGACATTCGTAGATGGCGGCGGCGATGTTGCTAGGGCGGACGTGCCGCGATCATGGGTGCGGATGTCGGAGTCTATTCCTAGGCTTTTGGAGGCTGGAGGCCCCACGGGGACGATTCGCGATCCGAATTCCACACCAATAGTCACATCATGAGTGGAAGAGAATCGTCCTTCGCAAAGTCGAATGGTCAACTGTAAAGTTAGATATTTTGATATTGGTTATTGACGGCGGCGCACTTACGCTGGATTTTCCGGTCCCAGAATCACCAATGCACACAAGTTTAGCAATATAGTCCCATGGCTGTGACATGGATACAGAGAGTTCTGATTTGCAGGTACAAGTGAAAATCGGGTTGTCAGAATGAAAGCAGAACGTTTGACTGTCTAAACAGCCATGGAACTCATACTATGGGTATTGTCGCTGGAGAAACCAGGTCAATTATTAGTGAGTCCAAAAGGTGAGGTTAACCATGCCATAAGTTTCCGCTTGCGCCTATCAGATATCAATTGCTGAGTCACCTATCACCCTGACCTGACCGTATGACGCATGCACTACTGCGCCTAAACCAACCATCACCACAACTGCCATGATTATTGTGTTGCTGCTGACCTTACCGCATCTTCGCCCTACTTCAACTATGTGTGGGTTGCTTCCTGACTGAAGCCCGGTCCTCCTACATTGTAACCTACATACTACTGCAACTACTACAACTTCTTGGAAATATTATACAGCTTTTGCCGTTATTTCTAAATATCTATTTCTATTCTATTAGCGCTTGCCCTTGTCATACTTGGTATACCATACAAGAAGGCTGTATGCCGTCTTTCATGCTGGGATCTGTTTAAGAATCTCAGCCATACTTGACAATTCACTGATTTCGTCCGAATAATTCCAGTGATCATGTTCTCAGAATGTACGACAAGATTCCTCTCTCTATTTGTTGCTTCCATACTCATTACCATCGCATTTAGATGCCTCGCGCTTTCTCGCTCAATCCCAGTCTCGAATAGCGCCTCACCCTGATGATAACCAAAGAGGTGATCGAGGCTATGCACGGCCTCATTCTCGGTTTCCTTCCTCGCTTCTAAACAGGACAACGGGAGACCCATATCAACCGTCCACGTCGCAGTTTTCCAACTTTCCTTTCACCCATAGAGCTTCTGCGCAACCCGCCCCTCTGTTCTATAGCGCTACAGACGAGTTTCGCGAAGAGGACGATGAAACAGAACACGAGCGGGAAATCGCAGACTTCTACGCTTTGCAGAAATCAAGACGGCACTTTGGCGGCAGTCAAATGAAGGATTCCTCAGAAATGGATGAAGATGAGGAAAGCTCGGTCAGCCTTGATGAGCAACAATCTCTTTACGCCGACGGTCCTAAGGGAAGGAAAGGTATCCGGAGTTCCTGGCGAGGTGGTAAAGCAACTCACTCACCGCACAATTTCCTTGTCGATCCTCTGCCAGAGGCCATCGAAGCCGAGGATGGGCCCTATGCAAGCCGAAATAGTACGCGGGATAAAGACACTTTGGTCGACATTGGTCTCGGGGATACGCTGAGGACCGATGATAATGTCCGAAGGTCTGCATCATCTGAATCTGGCGACGATGACCCGCCTTCAATTCAACGTTTTCGAGAGCAACCGCGCACTTTAAGGGACAGTTCTGGAATTGGATCCTTTTTTATGTCTACGGATGTAAACAAGCGAGATGGCACACAGACAGCGGATCTCGCTGACACGCAACCAAACTCGATCACCGCTGTCAGAGTGGAATCGCCTATGCATGATGCTTTCTGGGGCCAGCTGTTTTTGATATGCCTGGCTTGTCTCTTTGCCACAGCGTTTCTTGTCTATTTACATACGTCCAGCCCGTCCGGTGACAAATCGAAGTGGGGAGATACTATTTATATGACGGTTCACAGATCTTTCCACCTTCTGGGTATATATACCCTCGTGTCAGTGTTCGTTTCATTACTTTGGCTAGCCTTATTGCGGTCATATGTGCGGCCTCTGATTCACGTGATGATTATTGCTGTCCCCGTGATTTTATATTCGTTCTCGATATACCCGTTTGTCTCCAGTTTCAGAGGTACCTGGCATGGAGCGAGCATACAGGACAAAGTGATGCGCTTTGGGTCTGCGGTTCCTTTTATTATGGCGAGCGTGTGGCTATACAACGTCATCCGAGGCCGCCACGCCATAGGAAAAGCAGTGAGTATCCTTGAATTTGCGTGTCGGATACTTGCCGCAAACCCCGAGCTACTCATCCTCGGCTTAGCTGTTCTCTTCTCTGTCGCATCGTGGACATGGGTATGGATGCTCATGTTCACTCGGGTGTTTCTAGGGGGCCATTTTTCTGGTTCGAGATTGTTCTTGATCGACCACAGCAGCTGGTGGCTAGGAATCTATTTCATTCTTGTTTACATATGGTCATTAGGAGTGATCGCGGGAATTCAGCGTGCTGTCACGTCCGCAACCGTGAGCCAGTGGTACTTCCATCGCCTTGCAAGACCGGCACCCACCTCCCGACAAATCGTGCAGGCGGCCATGTTTCATTCCCTCACAGTATTGTTTGGCACAATATGCTTGTCAAGGCTTCTAGCACTGCTAATCAGGCTTCCTCTCCTCTTACTTCCTCGGCGTGTCACATCCGTATTGAGTTTGTTTGCATATTCCCTTATTCCTACACCGGTTGCGAGTCTCACAAACCCCCTTTCTCTGACTTATGCGGCAATCCACTCCAAGCCACTAGCTATATCCGCTCGTGGACTTTCTCAGATGGCAACCCTATCCGTTTCAACCGCTCCATCTTCATTGCACCCTCACTCTTTCTCTTTGACGCATGGTAGCCCGGATCCTCTGTTGTCATACCGGCTGTCAAAGCTGATATTGCATGCTACGCGTTTCATGATGTCTTTGGCGCTCGGTTTTGGCGGTTGGGTAACTACAGCGCGGAGTTTAAGTATGCCTGGTGTTGTTGGTACGACTGGTGGCAGCATGTATGCTTATGTGGTTGGGCTTATTGCAGGAACCATCGGCTGGAGTATTCTGGGAGCAATGGAAGGTATAATTGCGGATATTGTGGATGCCACAGTTATTTGCTGGAGCAGTGAGGTTGGCACTTATGACAGGGAAGCTAGGTATTGTCGCGAGGCTGGGTGGCTCTTTGGCGATTTTACGGACTCTACGCATCATCATTTTGAGGTCTAGTTTTTTTTTTTTTTTTTTTTTTTCGGGCTTTCTTTTTTCGGGGTAGAGTTTACGAATACCAATAAAGTGCGCTAAGCTATATTATTATGCTACTGTTTCAAATCCACCGAAGTCTCTTATCCTTCTCCGTTGTTACTGTTGACGCCAGGTCTTTTGTTGATTAGGCTTCATCTCCAAATGGTATCTTACGAGCGTATTGGCCAAGGCATTAGGGAAAAAAAGGACCAATTCATTAATTCCTTATGATGCACATGTCCGCGAGTAGGGTTATCGGTGCAATAAAATAAAAAACAAAACAAAATAAAATATGATAAAATATAAAAATAAAATATAATGAATAAAATGAAATGAAGTGGAAAGACTGTGGTATCACTTAAAACAGACAGAATGCAACAATAAATGGCCCATTACGCCTTCATTCAACCATACGAACGCCCAACCCAATAAAATCGATAGACCAACTCTCAAAGATCAAGTCGACCGCGCCAATGTAAACCTTCCTTTGCACACCACTCGTTCAAGATAGACCAACCAAATCGCACAATCTGTAGAGGTGTGTCTGTTCTACCGAGCGGCAAGAAAAAACCCCCGGAATAGTCACCAGGTGTAAGTGGTTGCTTCCCTCGCTCAGAGTATCTCCTGGAGCGGTTTTGCCAAGTTCCAGGGAATTCTCGCTCGAGGACATCTTCGGAGAGCCCTCCCATGCCTTCAGCCCACAATCTTCGAGACTCCTTATGATTCTTTGGGAGCCGAGTTTTCAGCTCGAGAAGCTCTTTCAAGTTTTTCTTGTTTTCTTCGGAGGGAGAAGGTGTATGTTCTCCCGGGAGCGGGCTGACTGCAAGTCGGTCCAGATCGAGAGCATGGATGGCATCATAAGACACAGCACCGAGTATTGAGCAAAGGCTATGTAGCTGTGGGTAAGGGGCACTGATCTTCTTTACCACGTTCCAATATGCAAGAATAGATACCCATGCTGATGAGTCACCGATCTGACGTGCCAACGCCTTAGATTGATCATCCGCCACAAATGCCAGTATGAAGCATAGAATGGCCTCAAGTGCCGTAGCGGCTGCGACTTTTTTGTCAGCGGCAGTCGCACTATCCTTAGCCGTATGTCGCTCAACGGCATGCTTTAGTTCTCGGCCAAGGTTCCCATATTTCTGATATTCTTCTTTCCAGGCGCGGCGCTCGTAGCTGCGTGAGCGGCTTGGTTGGTTATTTGTTTGCGGCGATGACAATCTCGCGGTTGAATCCCCTGCAGGATATTTGGCGCCCTGAGTAAGTGGTGTCTTCGCTTCACTGTTTGTACTTTCCATCTGGCGGGAAGAGGTGATTTTGGGTTCTTTTATGGACGTGGCTTTATGCTTCCCCTGTTGTCGAGGTATAGACATTGGAGTTTGTGGCTTTTCTAGAACAGAATCGCTGGGTACATGTTTTGCCTTTTTCTCTGGCCGATGGGACATCACTGCGACTTCGTCAGATAGCGGGACCTTTGAAATATTATGGTCTTCTTTCTTGATAGGTGAACACGATGCAGCTGTCTTGTTTTTCCCAGAGAACTTAAGAAGGGCCTCGACGCGTTTTTTATTCGCCCTCCCATATCTGAGTTTAACGATAAGTTGTCGTTTGATCGGGGCTGCAGCGGGCGATTTGCTTTGTACCCTCCGGAGACTTGGACTCCGCGCAGAATCCAAAGGCAGCACATTGAGGTTGGATGACACTCTCGCTGCATCCTCCGTCAATTTATCAGAGTTTGGAGGGGACCCTTTCTGGGATGCACCGTGAGCCAGAGATTCATCATGGATGCTGGCGAGCTCTTTTTCAATGCTGGGCGGAAGGGTAGGCGACAATAGTTGAGGTAAGCCTGGGTTGTCTGAGGTAGGCGGGAGGGTCGGCGATAAAAGATCAGGAAGTCCATTAGACTTTGAACGATTTGGCCTGTCATCTAGTGACCGATCGGGAGACAGTCGAGGCTTCTTGGGGGAGCATATGCCTGAAGGTCTCCCGTCGTTGGATTTGGAATGCTCCCGTTCAAAATCGGGTGGGCGTTTGCGGCTTGTATTTTCGAAGGCAGGTCGAGATGAGGACTTGGATAGTGTCGTAGTACTGTTCGGAGGTTTATACGTGCTTTGCCGCGGAGGGTCAGGTTTGGAGGCTCGTGGCTTGTCGCCAAGTGCATGAGACGTTGATGCGCTTTGGCTTATGGCCTCTTGGGTGACGGGAGGAGCTGACGAACCACTCTTCCATTTATTCTTATAGTCCGTTAGACTAATTTTTTTCTTAGCTGGCCCACTTGACGGCGTGCTTGCGGCGCTCTGAGGTCTCGAGCGCTGATCCGGCATAATGCTCCCTGTCCCATCTGACCAATCGCCAACAGCAACCAACAGAGAATCCCCTTCGTGGTGCGTCAAAAAAGTCATATACTGAAGTTGTTGTTCCTCCAAGGTGAATGGTCCGTCGTCGCCCACAGCCCAGTTGTTGATAAAATGATTTCCGAGGCGAAAAGGCACGTCAGTCGGAATGGTAAGAAGGAAAGGGTAGAATGGGAGAACTTCGTCCTTCAGGCGTTTCAATTGCTGATCAATTGATTCTTGGTCGGATGCAAATGACCGTTCGCGAGCTGATTTAGGATTCTTGAAATTGTTATCCGTCGAAGGAGATGGGCGGTCCACCGCCATTGCAGTCTGTTGATTCTATATGCGTGCGGGAGGGATAAATGACAATGACAATATGATAGGGAAGGACGGGTCTGAATGTCAATAATATCGCCTGAGAATGTAGAGATAGTTGGTTTCATGTGGGAAATCACCCTTGATACCCGGCTGAGAACAATGATAGAAAGAGCAACACATTGACTCCGACCAGCTGTTTCGCAGACTTGTGTTACCACTGTCCTGCGAGAATTCAGACACCCAGAGACAATATCGCGCAAACACACATTTCACTATGCACTTCGTCCAATATCTCTTTAAACCACCCACTCCTAAGGTTAACAAATGCGCCTAGTTATTTCTGACTAAAGCGAACCCTTTTGCGACGAGTGATTTTGGAGGCTATACCGAGGGAAACGTGGAAACCCAGCGATAGCTGGTATTTTGCACTTCTTTTTCAACTTGGATCAATGACAACCATGGATAAAAAGATCATATCACAACGAAAAGAGGCAGAGGAGGGAAGAAAAGAGTGTGAGATACTAGACAGAAGGCAGGGGTGATTGTTGGAGAGGGACGTCACTGAGCGGAGAGATGAGATGCTTGGCACTCCTTCTTTTAGAGAGGTACCCAAGATAGATTGTCATCTCCATACAGAACCGACTCTATAATTGATTGTTTTAATTTAAAAATTGGACTAAAATCCGGCCAGTTTTGCCTCGTTTAATGTAATTATTATAATATGGCATCTGAAGCAATTGTCGAGAATATTACGTCATTGCTTGAGGTCGCTTCTTATATATCACCGAATCTATTCTTCGAAGGTCAAGACAACACTGTTTCTTCGTGTCTCCGTCACCAATTTCATTGTTATCATATATGTCTTTGCGGAACACTCTTCGTCAGTCGTGGGTCTTCCGGAATCGCCTATGCCATATGGCTTCTCAATTCTCCAGTAAATCAGCGGGGGTATCCCTCGCTGACCTTCCAAAGTCGAGCGTTTTCACCTCCAGGCTACCCCCGGACCCTGCATTTGAGACTCCCGCTTCATCTCACAGCGCGCCTCGACAAACCCTTGGCCCCCGCTTGGTTAGAGGTGCCCTGTATACCTTTGTTCGTCCCGAGCCAACGGAGGAGCCGGAATTGCTGGGAATCAGTCCTAGAGCAATGGAGGACCTCGGACTACAATCGGGTGAAGAACAGACCGCCGAGTTTAGGGAGTTAGTTTCTGGTAACAAGTTCTATTGGGACGAAGAGAAAGGGGGCATTTACCCTTGGGCGCAGTGCTATGGAGGTAAGTATTAGGCCAGTCCGGACGACAACCACCTTTTACCATATAGCTGACACGCTAAAGGCTGGCAATTGTATGATGACCGGACAGACCATACTGGAACTCTGAGCTAACCAGTCTCAGCGGTGTTTGGGCGGGTCAACTCGGAGACGGGGTAAGATTAATGTCTAGACAAAAGCCTGGGTAACATACTTGTGCTGACAGTGGGCTAGCGTGCGATAAGCCTTTTTGAGGGCATCAACCCTAAAACAAAGACCCGTTATGAGTTGCAGTTGAAAGGTGCCGGTAGAACGCCCTACTCACGCTTTGCTGATGGACAGGCTGTGCTTCGGTCAAGTATCCGTGAATATATCGTATCGGAAGGTAGGCCCTAACCTAATTCGCTTATACACAAGGCTTAGACTTTGCTGAGTGGACTTACGTAGCGCTTAATTCTCTCGGCATACCTACTACTCGCGCCCTCTCTCTCGCCTTGTTGCCAAAGTCGAAAGTCCTCCGAGAACGCATTGAACCGGGGGCTATTGTTGCCCGGTTTGCTGAATCCTGGCTGAGAATCGGGACCTTTGACCTTCTTCATGCGAGAGGAGACCGGGATACAATCAGAAAAGTTGCAACTTTTCTTGCTGAAGATGTCTTCCAAGGATGGGAATCTCTCCCCGCAGCCGTGCCACTGGGAAAAGACCAATCCTCGGCAGCTGTGGATAACCCAAGCAGAGGCATTTCCCGTGATGAAATTCAGGGGCACCAAGGGGTGGAGGAAAACAGATTCACACGACTATATCGAGAGATTGTTCGACGAAACGCGAAAACAGTGGCTGCTTGGCAAGCTTATGGGTTCATGAACGGTGTACTGAACACCGACAACACGTCGCTATACGGTCTCTCGATTGATTATGGTCCATTCGCTTTCATGGATAATTTTGATCCTCAATATACACCAAACCACGATGATCACCTTTTGAGATACTGTTACAAAAATCAGCCCAGTATCATATGGTGGAACCTGGTTCGGCTCGGAGAGTGTTTGGGTGAACTTCTGGGGGCAGGCCGTAACGTTAATGAAGAGGATTTTGTCAAAGAGAGATTGACTGAGGAATCTGCAGAGGCTGCTGTTAAGCATGCCGAAAAGCTCATTGAACGAACAGGGGAAGAGTTCCGCACAGTCTTTTTGAACGAATACAAGCGCTTGATGGGTAGAAGACTGGGGCTGAAGACCCAGAAAGAATCCGATTTCCAAGATCTTTTTTCCGAGATGCTGGATACCCTGGAGGCGCTGGAACTCGACTTCAACCACTTCTTCAGGCGACTCTCCAAGCTGCCACTTGCCGAGATAGAGACCGAAGAGGGTCGGAAAGCAGTAGCGCCGATTTTCTTCCACACCGAAGGCTTTGGGGGCATTGGGTACACCGAGGATTCTGCCAAGGACCGCATTGCAAAGTGGCTTAATAGTTGGAGATCGCGGATTCTGGAAGACTGGGGCACCGGCAACGATGCGGAGAGACAGAGCGCCATGGAAGCAGTTAATCCAAACGTGAGTTCCAACAGCTTTTCTCCAGGGTGTTCAATATCCCAAGGCTAACCATATGTCCTCTCGTCGTAGTTTATTCCCCGTGGATGGATCCTTGACGAAGTGATTGAGCGTGTGGAACGCAAGGGAGACCGAGAAATCTTGGGACGTGTCATGCAAATGGCATTGAACCCCTTCGAAAATGAGTGGGGTCTGGACAAGGACGAGGAGGAACGGTTCTGTGGTGATGTGCCTCGATTCAAGAGAGCGATGATGTGTAGCTGTAGCTCATGAGTGCATACCCACACACAATGCTGATATTGACTGAAGCCATAGATATTGGTTGTATGTACAAGCCGAAGTACATATTTGTCTACATCAGTTTTGAATACACATGTTAAAGCATACGCATCGTTCTTGGGACATGGTAGAAAGATGCCTCTGCTTGGGAATGGTTTCGAGTTTTCGAATAAGTCAATAGACTGGCCAAAAGTAAAGGCACAATAAGCCTTGACTTGTAGAATCTAGCGCGACCAAGCACTGTAAATATGCAATTGCAACGGAAAGAACGTAATGGAAGGCTTCATTTTTTTTTTTAAATTTTATATTAATGTTAGAATAACTGCACTTTTGTTTTTGTATCGCGTAAAGTAAATTTTCATCACGCTTGCCATCCAGACCGTCTGTCTGCTTCTGAAATATATCTTCCTGCCCACGCTCGGAATCGGAAGATAGGAGACTGCGATTTCAATGACGGAGATCTCGATATCAATGGGACATCGGTGGAACCGCAGAGTAAAACGAAAAGAAGGCCATTCGGAACAGGCCTTGTGAGCCAAGGCACGATTTAATCAGAGATTGGGAAAGAACTCCAAATCGCTGCCGATAACACGGCAAAGAGTTCCTCCTGGCCTGGCTATTCGTGCACTAGCGCGATAGAGAAGGCGATCGATTCAAGATTACGTTGACTTAGTTGGGGCAGGCAGCCTGAACGTGTCCGGCCTCCTTGCACTTGTAGCAGACTCGTTCACCCTTGGCCTCCGTAGGGCAGTCACGGGAAACATGGCCGATCTCACCACCTAATAACAGGTTATTCACTCAGATCCATACACCAGAAAGAAAGCAAACAAACTTACAGTTGTAGCACTTCTGGCCTTGAGTGCAATCGCGGGCCATGTGGCCGAATCCGCCACAAGAATAGCAGGTCTGTTGCCTACCGCCGTATCCACCACCGAACCCGCCTCCGTAGCTGCCACCCTGGGAACAGCTGCGAGCAATATGTCCAACCTGACCGCACTTGTAACATTCCTGGCCACCGGCAGCACCTCCGCCTCCGTAGCCATCGGCCGAACCAGGCTGAGGGCATTCGCGAGAAATGTGACCACTGACGCCGCAACGGTAGCAAGACTTCTCCTTCGGAGCTATGGTGCATTCTCGGCCTGTTGAGATGGAGGGTTACAGTTAGTCAACCGACAAAAAAAATGTATAGGTAGGTTAGACGAAGTATGGGGGTACTCACTAACGTGGCCCTGTCCTAAAGTTGACAGAAGGCATTAAATTAGACAAAATTCAAAGGAAGGGGAAGGTAATGCTGGGAATATATGCATACCACCACAGTTGTAACTGTTGTAAACGTTAGCATTAGCCCTATAACTCTAGTGAACAGAAATATTGCATACCAAGTAGGAGTTCCCTTCTTGGGGCAGTCACGAGCCTAATCACCAAGAGTAAGTTTTCATATCCATAGAATATCCAAGGAAGAGCGATATTTCATAACAGAAGGATATTTCTCACCTGGTGAGATGCATCACCGCCTGCAAGGATAAAACTCTGTTAGTGGCAAGACAAGTAGAGAAAAAGAAAAAAAAAAAAAAAAAAAAAAAAAAAAGAGGGAAAGAGAGGAAAAGAGAGAGGGAGAAGCCGGTTTTTGTAGAAATATTGCATAAAGGAAGTATCCTTCGGATGCCAGTACATGATGGAAGCTTTAGTTGACTGCATGACTCCGGATTGGACGAAACAGCCACGGATAGCACAGGGTAAAGGACAGAGCTTTGGGACGAAGGTAAAGGGAGATGTAAAGCGAGATGTAGAGCCCTATGCTGCCAAAAGACATGCGCAAAGACTGCTTTCATTTTTGACAGTCGCTAGAGCATTTTTTATTTCATTTTCTGAACTCACAGTTGAAGCATCCACGGCCTCCGTTCTGGTAGTCCATTTTGAATTTGAATTAGGAAAAGCCTTTTGGTTGCAAGAGGAAAATAGTATTGTTGATTCGAAATGAAACCGGAAAAAAGAGTGGTTGAGCAAAATTGAAATCGCAGTAGTGGATGGAAGTGAGAGAGACAAAAAAAAAAAAAAAAAAAAAAAGTGAGATATGCTAACAACGGTTAGTGCGGGGAGAAAAAAAGTCTTCCTTCCCGCGGTGCCTGGCAGCAGGTCAACTATAAGACAGCACCTCGACAAACGAGACAATAAATGAGCGAGACCAGAAGAAAAGGAATTCACTGCCACAGAAATGGTGAATATGGGACATTGCCTCTTCTGTTTTCTTATATACCATCTGTTCATTGAGGATGGGTGGTGAATCCGTTGCTGTTTCGTGCCTTAGGCTCATAATTCTTTCAATGGATTGAGGCCGCAGGGGGGAAGTGAGCAATAAATTGAATGATCCTCAATCATTCTTGTCACCATTCCCTTGTCTAGGGTCCATTGCTGAAGTATATACATCATCATTTGGGTGTTATCAACATCACACACAACTTATGTTGATCATGTCCAATCCATGAAAGTGTAAACACCAAGCGATGAACAAAACGAATAAATGAATGACGGAGAATGGACCGGTCGACATTATATGGCGTCTTCATGAAATTCATTTGATACTGGGTTTATGATGCTTTTCCTTCTGCCAGGGAGTGCTTGAAGATCGGGAGCAAAAAAAAGCAACAGGAAATCAGCAGTGTTGTCCAAGGTTTAGTGAAAAAACAAAAAAAGTTGAAGAAACAGTAGGTAGAAGGACATATATAAAGGCTGCGTCCAAGGTCCTCATGTATTCGTAAATTCCGCTGGTTCGCGGAAGATCACCTTTAACTTTGAGAAGGCGTTGACCGAGAAGGTCCTCATCACTGTCTATCTTGTGCACCCCCCCCCCCAAAAAAAAAGGCTTGCAATATCGACTCGAGACCCAACCCGGTTCATATAAAATTGTAACACTCAAGCAATGCTGTCCCCATTTCCTGTTCTCGAAGCAAAAACACACGTTCTTCATCAAATCCTATACAGCCTCGTATCCGTGCCATATCCCGAGAGACGTCAATAGAAGTTCTCTCAGCTCCATTCGGCGCTGGTCGGTCACAGTTCTCATGCCATTCAGTCCGTGCATTCTCGGGACTGAGTCGAGTGCTGCTGGCTTCCTTCGCCGTCCGCCGGGCTACAGGGGATGAAACAACTGATTCGAGTTCCCATACCCGTATTTCATCTCCACGTGAACTAACAGAAATTGCTTTGCCACGATCGCTAACTTGCACAGTTCCCACGGACGATGTATGGCCCCAGAGCCTTTGACCACTTTTGACAAACAGGTTATTAGAAGTAGATACGACAAGGTACACGGTGAGGGTGTTGTCTGGATGAGATGCCAGGAGAAAAGGATGTCGATAAGAAAGAGAGGTTGGGAGCTCTTGATGTAGTATAGAGGGCTCACTTGGCATCGTGAACAGCCTGCCACCTTCGGCCTGGTAGTCCCATGCCGAGTGAAATACTCTCTCCGAGTGAGAGAGAGGCCGTATGCCGTATTGTGAATCCACTGTTGTAGCAAGCCGCGAACCTATTTGCTGGCCATTGCTGTTCAGACGAAGTTCTTGGATCCCTAATGACCAGCCACAGCCGATGTGGTAAAAGCTATAAACAATTGATGCAATGATTTCAGATTGCGCGGCTCGGATGGAGAGTGACATTGGTGCCACAATGTTATCTGCTTGCAGAGACGCAAGCAGACGGGCTCCATCTGAACCACCTGATCTGTTGAGACCCTTAGGTCCTGAGAATATCCTATATAGGGAAAGTGTCTTATGCTTTGAGACAGTTAGCAGATATGGAGCTGATGATGCCATGGCTGTGATCGTTTCTGAGGTGGATTCAGTGTGGTTGAAATGTAAGCTTAGTTTCGATGCCTTGATATCCAAGTCATACACACTGAAGCCCTTGTCTTGAAAGCCTACCGCGATTTCGATATTATCCTGACCAAGGCTGCGGGTTGTTGACAGAGCTGTCGGAACATCAGAAGAACATTCTGATGGTATATGTGCCACACAAAATCTTGGGTTACTAGCAATCCAAGCTCGAAGCCCATGGCCGGAATCCGCCGTGAAAATAAAACCGGCACAGAATTCAACGAGCAACGGAGGTCGTGGTTGTTGAGCGAATTCAATTTCAGTTAAGCGACAAATCCCCTTGGACCAGTTGTGCCTGAGGTGATACTGGCGTTTCCAGTTTGTAGGCCTTCCCTCCTTTGCTAGATGACTGTGATTTAACCATGTTGATACCTTGGGAGAATATTCGGCTTTTGATGGTGGAATGGAAATTCGTTTGCTGTTTGCTAATCGACGTGCACGGGGGCGAACCCATCGGGAATAATATTGTCTCTTCCAAAGCTCCGAGTCTCCGGCCAGTGCATGAAATCGGCGCGATAATCTGACACAGCGAGGAAGTTAGCTGTCAGTTCGCTCAATTCCTATATCAACCCTCTCCAATTTTATTCTGTTCTATAGACGTACCTCTGACAACCGATTAATGATGGTATTGGAAGACAAGATAGAATATGGAGTAGGAGCTCGTCGCTCAAAGACGAAAGGCGGTCGACTCTGCGGGGGCGCTTTGGCGGATGCGAGTGGGAGACAATGCTGTTGCTGCTACTGCTGCTGCTCTCATCGTCGTGGATACGTCGTTTCGACATGTTGCCAGTCGCTTTATATATCGAAACAACTCTTGATATTGAGCATTATGTACCGGTGGTTCGGGTACGTCAATGGGTGGCTTATCTAAAGGCTGATAAGGCCCCGCGGGATTACGCGTGAAGTAACTATGTACAGCTGGAGACGCGTCGCAAGGATCATTGCAATGTCCACTGTGCTACATCCGGTACTGTGCCGTGTACAACCCTATTAATGGACGTCCTCAAGCAGCTTCATACTTCCGTCGCTCAATTGTTCGAAAATTCCTTCGACCATGCCTACAAAAACTTGAATGCCGAGCTCGCTCGTCGAGATGCACAGGCCGATGAGGCAGCCAAAGCCGCTGAAGAAGCCCACGGAAATGCTACCACCAGAATCCAGGAGCTAGAATGCGAGGTTGCGGATCTGAAAAAAGAAATGCATTCATGTGAAGTCGACGCGAAATCCAAGAGATTCTCTGCTTCCATGCAGGAGGCATACGGACCTGAGCGTGTTCTCGAGCATTTTGCTTTGAATGGTCTTCATCCTGATATGAAGGAACGGATCGCAGATATTAGCACTAAATATCGGTCTTTATATGAAAATCTCCAAGAGCTTGTATGTGTTTGTGGGACACTCAGGGCGAAGGTCGATAGTCATAAGCGAAAATTGGTGCAATGGCAAGACCGCGTCACTCGGGAGGAGTTTACGATTGAACTATCAGGGATCCCGGTCAAATTTCGGCGTGTGTATGGGAATCCAGCCACTAAGGACATATTGCACTTTGAGCCATCGAGGTCGCGACAATCTGCATCAGAACCATTGGAACCGGTTGCTCATAAGGGCAAAACTGGGACTTCGACTCCAACCTTAAACCGTCATGAGCAAAGCGTCCAAACCAGAAATGGGACAAGGGGTGCCCTGAAGTCGTCTTTTACCTCCGAACTACCAGACTCAGCTTCATCAAGACCTGACCTTTCGTCGGCGAGCCAAGAAACTGTGTCAAATGACCTCTCTTCCGATGGGTCCAATGGAACAGTGACGCGAGAGCTCAAACGAAAGCGAGTGCTATTGCCGGAAACTGCTCATCAAAAAACATTCATCCAAAATGGCTCTACAGTCAGATCGCAGCGACCTATTATCATCAAGAGCGAAAGCATGTCCTCTAGCTCCCCTCGAAACTCTTCAGAATACTGCGCACATGCGGGTACCCAGGATCTGGATGAAGTTGGCAGCAGTGTCGAGACCCCGACGAAAAAGAAGCGTCACAATTGTAATTCTAGTAAAAGGGATTTTTTGGCTACTGATGTTCCTAAGACGACCAGGGAACTTGAGCAGGATTACGAGAACCCTCATCAACCAGAATCTGAGCAGAGGAAGTTGAAGCACGGAGTTCTCCAGCCTGTTGACGGTAACTCGCGGGCTACTAGCTCTTCCGAGCAGCAATCAAGTATCATAGAACCAAAGAGAAACACGGAAAAAACAATCAGGCATGGCATACCTTCATTAACAGAAGACGGAGAAAGTTACGTGAATGCGAAACGAATTGGAAAGCACGCATCTTCAGTTGAGACGGATCAGTCGTTGAATACTGAAATCATGCCTGCTCGGCAACGACTTCAAAGTCTTCTGGAAGGGCCGGCACCGTCTAGGTCACATTTGAATGTTCCGCGGAGTCACGTGAACCCTGTTGATAGTAAGCGACCTGTGAACCAAAATCTAGGAGGCGATATACAGCATGCTTCTGCAGAAGGCCCAGGGCCCTCGGAGGCAAAGGCCGAAGGCAGTATGCGAACCGGTATGGTACACGATAGAGACTCTCGTTCAGTCAATGCTCATGACAAGCCGTCAGATGTGCACCATGAAGATGAATCTTATCGAACCTTGCCGCTTCACCGGCTTGAACTTAACCATTTCAAGATAAATTCCGATTATAACCATGGTGTTGACTACGCTTTCAGCGATCTTGTTCGCAAGGGAGACGAACGCAAGTGTTTGAGTGGTTGTACACGTACCGGCTGCTGCGGCGATAAATTTCTCGCCATGGCTCGAGCTGGTGGTCTCCAAACGAATCTTGGTGGAGCAATTTCGAAAGAAGCAGAGGAACAAAATCTCCTGGAAGAATACCTAGGTGATGAAAAAGATCTAATTCACTCGATGGACCCCCAGGACCGCCAAGAGCTTCTCCATGAAGCGCGAGCAAAACATATCTCCGATACCTTTGGAAAACATAAACACGTTCACCAGCGTCCCCGCACACCGCCGGGTTTCTGGCGTACAGATATGCCAGACACTCAAGAGTTAGAGCATGACCGCGAAGAAGCAGAAAAGCTCGAAAGAGAGAAAGTCTATGAACGGTATAGAGAGGCCATGCGGCCGGGTGGGTTGTGGAAATTTGCGGACGAATAGGCTGGTCTTCTCAGCGTCTTGCACTTAACGATATATATCCCAATTTATGCTGTACATATCTGGACCATGAAAACAAGGGCCTTTCCCATTGAGGGTTGTCTACTATCACATGACCGTTCATGTATACCCCAGTCATACCATGACATGTCAAATAACCGATTGAAAGACATACGTCAAGCCCGCATTCTATGTAATCAGCAAACCCCCCAGAACAAACGCAATGATATTTTCAGATAGAGTAATACTAGAATGCAGTACAGAGTACTCTGTACATAGTAGTAGTAGTAGTAGTAGTAGTAGTAGTAGTAGTAGTAGTAGTAGTAGTAGTAGTAGTAGTAGTAGTAGTAATAATACTATCCACATTTTTACCTCGGTCCAAATATCCTTGGCTGATGCGGAGCACGTGCCTTCCTTATCTCCCACTCGAATCCGAACTGCATCCCTGTCATCATCAAACTACCACTACTCTTCCAACGCGACTCGTTTACTTTTCGTTTCTTATTTATTCCCACCGCCATCCAGATATTCTTTGATGGTCTTAGATTTTGACGGTACAAACAGAGACTTCTTTGGGACTCGATGCTCCCGGCGCGTCCTCCCGCAGAGATGAAGTCAACATCGAAATCGCATAACTCCATGGCTGCAGTGCTATTGCAGCCATCGAAATGGCTCCCGCTCTATGAAGAATTTGTAACGAAAAATGCCAGCTCCGTGGGGCAGGTGGAATCTGCGTTGCGATCTTTGACATACATCATCCCAGGTTAGCCCAAGCCTCAAGACCTGACGGTGCAAGCAACAACAAGTAACGGGGATTCTTTTCATTACGCAGGACGATACAGAGACTCGGAAATATCATCAGAATGTGGTATGTGAGAAATCTAGTCTGAAACCGTAACTGCCATCCATCTAATGCTTTGGGCAGTCCATTCTGGAGTGCAACTTTTGTCGCTGTACCATGACTCTCTTGTCTCACGAGTTATCTCAAGGCTCCCATCCACAATCCCTCGACCAGCACCGACACCGCATTCTCGCTACACAAAGTATTGGACATCTCATTCTTCATTATATCACCGGGTGGCCCTTTCTTTGCAGATGATCCAATACACAGAGTTATTGTGGGAAATGGTTGCGCGACGCCGAGGCCAAAAGACCCGTTGGCGTGTGGTAGTTTTGATCGAAATTGCAAAAGCGATTTGTCGCCTGCTTTTACTTCGTCTAACGAATTCTCGGCCGCTAGTAAGCCCCCCTTTGCCTGAGCGTGAGGTGGATCCCAGGTCTGCGGATGAAGAGGAGGGTGATTGGAACGGAATGCAAACGCCAGTGAATGAGAAGTCTTCCGATCTGAGCTGGACCATGCCCCGCACGGGGATGTCGTTGCCATCTCTTCCGAATGTGAACGATGTATCAAACTATCTTATTTCGAAAGTACTTACGGCCGACGATATCAAACCCCCGAAGGCACTTTTACACAGAGTTACGGGGCAGGGCCAGCTGGCTGAAGCTTTATATATCCTTCGGCCAGTGATATACGCGCTGGCGATGCAGAAATGGAGCGGAGACAAGCGAAGCTGGAGGCCCTGGCTAATTGGATTCGGAATGGAGTACGGGTGCCGGCAGCTAGCCAAGACAGATTTCAGAGAACGGGTTGCTGGTGGCCTTCGTGGGCTTACGGGCCTAGAACGCGAGGAATTGAGGAAGAGAGGATGGGCAATGGGCTGGTGGATTATGCGAGGCGCGTTTTATGAGAACATTACCAAGTATGTGTTCCTTTACCGGTTAATATTAGGCAAAGGCATAGTGAAACTGACAACAACCAGGTCTTGGCTGAAATCATTGACTGATAAGATGAAGGGGAAACCGCTACTTGACTTGGTCGGCAGTGTTATCGAGGACTACGAATACCTCTGGGATAATTACTATTTCCCGACGGCGACCCTGTGATCCTGTTTTAATAATCACCGGTCGTCATCAGCCCTGAAGAATTCTGCTAGTGCAGCCTAGCGCATGCCACGGACGCTTTCTATGTTTCTTGCCTGTACAACTAGGGAGTTTTTTTGGAGATACCCGGGCGGATTTGGGATAATTAGCGACTGATCTTGTTTTTTCTGCGATGATCACATCAAACGGGGTATCATTAAAATTATCCAGTACCTAATCTTATATATAGTAATAAATACATCCATGTGTTCTTGTTCTCACAGAACTTCTGCCATTTTGTGACCATACCAATCCCGCAACTCTCCTCGGTCTGTACCCTTGGCTGTTCCGGTGGAAAGAAACTCACTAAGTCGCATACCCTCATCCTCTTCCACGGGCCAGTCGACCCTGACTCCTCCTTTTAGCTCCAACATCTCTTTTGCAGTGCCCCAACTGAATCGGCATTCATTGCCCCATCCAAAGATAGGATCCATGTTTCGCCGGAGCCAACCGGCACATTTAGAATCTGAAGGATAGCCGCTACCCCAGCTGTCTGTGGTGACAATCTCCTCCGACATCTGCTGAGCCGCGAGTAACGTTTCGTAACATGTGTCTAACGCAATATCTCTGGTCACTTTCGCAACAACACTGGCAGCGCTAACGCAAGGATATAGGGAATCGGCCTTTTTTGCTACTGTAATTTTGAGAGATGGAAATATCCGCTCCAACTTCTGTTGGTACGTTGCCGGGTTTCCGATAGTATCAATGTACACCTCTTTGACGTCCACCTTCCGCTCCTCCACAATTCCCCGGATGATCTCGATTGTGGCGTCCATGGCCTGCGCATTGAGATTATAGATCCCAGTCCCGGGCCGCATCATCCCCGAAGATATGTCGCGCGCGGAAAGAAGTTTGGTCGCCCATCCACAAGACTCGAAGAGTGGGTTTCCCTGTGTGCAAATTAATCGCATCAAGTTGGCTCGTACCGCAGGTGTGAGAACTTTGCTGTCATCGAAGCTATATTCTTGGGCTAGGAGGGAATGATGAAGTTCCGCAGGCAAATAGAAAGCACTGTAGACCATCGGTCCTAGCACTGGACCACGGCCAGCTTCGTCGACACCCAGGACACATGGAGTAATACTAGGGCTTTGAGTTGAATTTTGAGTCGCAATCGCAGCGGGACACGGCGAGTAGTGCGAAAAGGACTCTCCGGAAAGCAGGCGGCTGCGATCAATACTGGGAGGAAGAAAATGGACATTGGAATCGTCATTATCGTTCGTCGTGGTCGAAGTCTCGCCGTGGACGGCATCAACAGGGTTTTCCATGTTATCCACCATAATCGCACCCAGTTTGGTGATTTTTAGAAAAAGGACTAGCAACGATAGTTCAGAAGTATAACGTAGCGAAGAGATTTAAGAAAATGGGTAAAAAGAACTGGAGGAAAACTGCTTCCTCGTTGTCAGAAAGAAGTACATAACGCAGACGCGTCGACCGTTCCGGGTTAGTGGCGCGCGTCTTTTTGCCGCCTTGTCCGGAATTCAGTCTTCTCCAAGTCCCCTCCGCAGCGGTCAACTAACTACCAGCATTACTCCTGTACACGCCCTCCTTCTTTTTTTGCTTCATGTCTCTGTAATATTAGCAGGCTGTGGACCCCGCCATCTACGTGATTTCCGCCATCTTCAGCAACTCGGTGGTATTCCTCTGTGCATTTGAGAGAGCTGGAATAGCGCGCGTTTGTCCGCACGCACTCTGAGGGACTTTTTTTTTTTTTTTTTTTTTTTTTTTCTCGCTCTCCTTCGCGAATTAATATTGATCACACCTACGCGTAAATCTCACCGTGACAATGGCTCCTCGAGGAGCGGCGAAAACCCGCGAATATGATTATTCCAACGTAGGAAAGGCTGGAAGGTAAGCTTACCTGAATTGGGGGGGGGGGGAGGTTAGTATAGGCAGCGGGGAAAACTAATATAAGCGATGCGCGGATATAGGCGCACAGGCATCACGCTGAAAGAAGGCAAACGCGATGAGCATGGCATGGAAGAGATTGATGGGATGTTCTCATCCCCTGAGAAGTCCCCTGCCAATGAAAATGGGTTCAATAACGGCAACGAGACAATTATGGGTTCGGATGGCATGTCAATGGATGAGGGTATGGCTTTATTCTCTCTTTCAGTCCAATCTTTTCAGGCTTACATCTTTTGGTAGGGAATGCACCCGGCCCCGCAGATTTTCTAAATGGCAGACGCGCATCATACTTTCCGCCCCCCGTTGCGCGATCACCTATGAAGACTGGCCTTACAGGGTCACCGCGGAGGACTCCGGGACTGCGATCTTCCGCCAGTCCGCAACGTGACCATCCTTCATCTAGTCCATCCGATGGTAAATCACTGCTTAACGCGAAACAACGTGACGTCTCCCCGCTTTCACACCGGTCCATTAATGCGCCGCCTTCAAACCATGCGAATAGTCTGTGGATTAAAAACAAAGCCAACATCAGAACATCAGAACCAGCGGCGACAGATGATTTTTCGGACAGTGACGCAAACAGCCAGTTTATCGGCGATGAAAATGGAGATTCATTCGAGCAGACCCGCGACGATTTCGTTGATAGTTTCGCTGCTGGTGACGATACCCTACTGGAAGACGAAGCTCCGCAAGCCATAGAAGAGCCGGATCAAGAGGTCACGGATCCGGATAGTCCGGACATGCCTTTCGAGCCGCGCAGAACAGAACAACCTAGGAGTACTACAACGAAAGCCAAGAGGGCAGCTTCGGGCAACAATAGCCGAATTCAAACCACCACACAACAGAACGGAACCCACGAGCGGGAACTCGCATCGAGACCAAAGCGACCCGGTCGACCTCCAAAGACGCAGCGCAAGGCCAACGAGGAAGCCGAGGATCACAGACCATCAAAAAAAGCGAGAACTTCAGCAGATCGGACGACAGGGGCCGTGAAGACAACGGGGAATCCTCAAATCGACCATATAACGGATACATACGCAAAACGACAGACAGGGCCCACCAAGGGACGAAGCCTGTACATCCTCAAACACGAAGCACCCGCAGAGGACACCGCGGCCCGCACACGATCAGGACGAGTGTCAATCAAACCCCTTGCTTTCTGGAAAAACGAAAAATGTGTATTTGGAGACGGAGAGGTTGCTGAGGGCGGTCGATTTCCTCATGCGACAGTTAAAGAAGTTATCCGTACAGAAGAAATTGAACCCGAGTATAAGAAAGCAAAGTCAGGCAAACGGCGATCGAAGAAATCGAAAAACAAGGATATTGAATCGGACGATGAGAATGAAGATCATGCTGATCGATGGGAAAAAGACAACGGCGTTCTTCACGGGTATATCAGGAAATGGGACCCCGAGGCTCAGGCAGGTATCGATGAGGAGGAGGTTCTAGGTAGGTTTTATTTTATTTTTATTTTATTTTAACGTACATGCTGATCGATGGGATGTAGACATCGCATATGCACCTTCTGGGATCGAGACAAGGGACGTCAAGGATGCAACATTTCGGTTTGCAAAGCTTCTCAGTTCTCCATTTTTGGGATCCGGGATAGTCGAGTTACCGCCTGGGGGTGTCAAAAAGCCCAAGAATTCAAAGAAGATGCATATGGTCTTTTATGTCTGTCATGGTCGGGTTCAGGTCGATATCTCTGGGGTACAATTTAGCGTTGGAAAGGGTAGTGTATTCCAGGTTCCCAGAGGTTTGTTTTCCGCTTACCCCATTTCTTTCTGTCGTTGCAACTCGTCCTAACATCGAATTATATAGGCAACTATTACAGCTTTGCCAATATTTATGGATTTGATGCCCGGTTGTTTTTCACGCAGGGATGTGTCCCAGCAGAGAATGAAAGCCTGGCCTCTGAGTCAGCTTCGAAGCCAACCGCAATGGAAGGCGACTCCACCACAGACGCTGGCCGTCCTACAAAAGGCAGGCCTAAAGGTAGCAAAGGCGGCCCCAAGGGCTCTAAGGGCGCTAAGCAAAAGGGTGGATCAAAAGCATCCTAGTCATCAAAACACCAATTACCCGTTTTCGTCCTTTCCGTCTTTTTTTTTTTTTTTGATACCAAGGCTGCTGTGGTTACTAGCAGCCTCGTCTTTGTCTTCTTCATTGTCCGACATTTGTCCTTTGACGTCTGTTTTTGAATCCCGTAAGGGTCATTTGTGTTCGAATTAGCGATTCAATTTGTATGGTTAGTGGGACGGCCATGTGCATTTATAATTTTTTCTCTCATGCGGGCGAATTTTGAAAGCGAAACCCTGGAGTGAATGGATTTATCTCGAATATTTTGAATGATATTAATTTATAGAGTACACTATACCATGCTCGGTTATTCTGTCATCAGACATGTTGATTTCCCGTATCAATTGAATCATATTTCCTCCATTAATTCGTCTTCAAGGTCGTCATCTAATCCTAGAGGAGGGAAATCCCCTACTTCAACCTTCTCCGGCTTGACAAAAACACCCGTTTTGTTGGGGCACTCAAAGTAGCGCTTACCACCGATGCTGCCGTCGTTCTTTCCCATCGGCTCATCAAGCTCGATGCCAACCCAGATCGGCAGGGAATCCCGATCCACTCCGTCATCTTCTATACTCAACCCCGGGAAGGGAATCGTTGACACTGGCCCAACGAAACGGACAGCCCCGCGCCGAATATGCGGCGGGGATGAGGGGAGTATGATAGCCCGCTTCGAAACGGCAATGTCTGTATTCGTGTTACAATTCATCCCCCTGACAGTAGTAACAGATAGGGTTTCTCATCTCACCTCTTTTTTGAACATCTATCTTGTCTTGATCAGCCTGTCTCTGCATCGCCTCCTCCGGCGGAACAGCAGTAGGATCAAATCGCCCCAACTTCTGATTCTTCTTCCACGCCAGCACCGAGTTCGGCAGCGTCTCATACGTCGACTCCGGCAGCACATACTTGTCCACAGCCGAGAGATCAGTAAAGTTCGGCCGCGCAGCCGCAGGTCGCGTATCATGGACCTCAATCTCACTCCCCTTCATCAACCCCCAGTTCCCAATGACCGTGTCATCGCCGTCAACCCATTGATTTGGGCGGCCCGGTGACTTGAGTTGCAGTCGCTGGCTACCTGGGGGCACACCGGTCATGGTCTCCAGCTTGGCTTTTAGCTGGCTGACGGTCCATGTTGGGGTGATGCGGCGTTCTGTGAGGAAGCCTGGTTCATTGGAGTTGCTGCTGTTGCTGGCAGAGGTGATGATGACAGAAATGTCCGTCGGGGTTGGTTGGAATGCCATCACTCGTTCTTTGTTGCAATGGTAGTCCAGACACGAAATCTTATTGACAGTTAGAATGCGTTTCTAGAAAGTTGGGGAAGAATATTGAAAAGGAGAGGGGGTAAGTGGCGGGGATGATAAGAAAACAACACAACAAAAGTCAAATAAAGTGAGATCTATTCAAGTAATAGAGTATTCCAGGTGGAACAATCCCCTCCATGAAAGAACGATGAATTGATAGAAAGAACCAGGAACAGGGAACAGATATTCGGGGGAAATTGGATGAACGCATCTTGATTCTTTTCTAACAAATGCACAAAGACTGGTATTTTCTGACTGATCAAAAGCACTTACCCACATTTAGCTGCAATGTCAAATTCTCAATATCATACAAGTGATGGATATTCTGGAGTGGACTGTTGGCCTCAAAGAACAACTGGTGATGCTTAGTCAGCCACTATACAGCATAAACGAAAAAAAAAAAAAAATCAGCACCGATAAAGTAGGAACTTACCGAAAAGACACCAGATTAATTCCCTTCTAAATCATTCCTCCACAGCAGAAGAAGAGCAGAAGTACTAGAAGAAGCCAGCGAAAAGTACTGCTGACTGAGAAAATCTCCGAGCCACGTGATTCAATTCTTCAGAACAAGGGCATCACCGAACCTTATCCTTATTCCGAGTGTAATTTACACTTGTAACGGGCGGTAATATCTTTTTTGTGGGATTCAAATCGCCAATCCACGATTCTGTGTCTACAAAGAACTACTCTATAAAGAGGCATTGAAGGGAAACCAAGTGGGAAAAGCAAAATGGCCGACAACGATGCAACCCCCACCGATGAAAGAGCCCCGGAAGCCTATGAGGAACAGAATGTCCATGAGGTATATCAGCAAATAGCAGAGCATTTCTCGTCTACCAGGTACAAGGTCTGTTCTATCTTATCCTCTCTATCTATCTATAAAGGGACTGGTCTCACTCGTATATCAGCCGTGGCCCATTGTGGAACGTTTCCTCCGAGAGTTATCGCCCGGCTCCATCGGGCTCGATGTGGGATGCGGCAATGGCAAGTACTTGACAGTCAATAAGGACATATTTATCATTGCTTCAGATCGGTAAGTTTATTTCATATCTCTGTTTAATTCGTGGATCAAATCATTTCTCTTTACATACATGACTGGTTAAATGTGAGAATACACGAAAACAACGAAAATAAAGTGCCTCCAATACCAATACCCAAACGCCCATTCCTTCACTCATTCTATTCCTTCTCCCTAGATCTTCTTGCCAGTGCTCGGATTGACCCGATATCCCAACAGATCTGAAAATCTTGTCCGTATTGCTGTAAACCATCAGCCACATTCGCCCATCGTAGCTGATATCCTCCATCTACCACACCCTGACGCTTTCTTTGACTTTGCCATATCAATTGCTGTGGTCCATCATTTATCATCACCGGAGCGACGGATTCAGGCAATTACGGAAATCCTGCGCACACTGAAACCTGCTTCCGAAAGCCATCCGGGCGGGAAAGCTCTGGTATATGCCTGGGCGCTTGAACAGAAGAACAGCCGGAGAGGCTGGGATAAAGGGGACAGTCAGGATGTGATGGTTCCCTGGATCCTGAAAAGCGGCTCATCCAAGGGCGACTCCAGCGATGCGCCCAAAATTTTCCATCGATATTATCACCTCTATGAGGAATCCGAGCTCGAGCGGGACATCAGACAGGCAGGAGGGCAAGTCCTGGAGTCAGGGTATGAGAAAGACAACTGGTGGGCAATCGCGACGCCATCAAACGAGTAGAAAACGTCAGGTCGGGTCGGGGTGTGTCGTTTTTTGCTCCGAAGATCCAGCCTCGAAGTCGAATATTTTGCTTCTCTTTTCCTCCCTTCAATTTGTGACCGAAAAATGAAATGAAACGAAAGCAAACTGGTCATCACATTCACACCAAAAAAAAAAAAAAAAAAAAAAAAAAAAAAAAGAAAGAGACAGAGACGCGAAACACGACACACAAGGGAAACAGAGGGGAGTCATATGAGAATCATCTAAAGACAGGACAAACAAACAGGCAAAGGCGGACAATATCACAAAAATAAAGGTATCTCTTCAAAACAACGCTATGCAATTCGTAACAGTAGGGAAAAAACCTCCCAGGGCGTACAGACGTCGTTCGTTTGTTTTCTTTTCTCGAATTTTCTTTTTCTTTTTTTCTTCGACCCTATGGGAGGGTTCGAGGTGGAAAGCCGATGCTGTGCCCTAAGTGGCCACCGTGACTGCCACTCATTTCCATTGGGCCCATTCGGTAACTCAATTCCCTTGTAGGAGGGAATGGTGGAGCTGGTGCATAGGCTGGGACACCGGCTGTAAGCTCTTCGACCGAAGGGAGCTGCGGTGGTGGGACTGGGCGTGTCATTGATCCCTTTCGTGATCTAGACAGAGAAGCACCACTGGTTCGGCGTGATCTAGTCGAGGGCGGATCGATGGCTGTGCTGGAAAGGGAGAAGGGAACCACGCCCGCTCGACGGGCCATCTCTTGTTCCCCTAATTGCCAGTGCATCGCTTCTGCGGCCCGCCATGGGATTGCCATCTCCTCTGCCACCTTGGACCACATTTCAGCCTTGAATCTATTAGACAGACAAACGTTAATATATCGGGTCTGTATTGGACAACAATCCCTGGTTTCCTTTCCACATTACAATACGTACCTTTCGTATAATCTGGCGAGCTTGTTCTTCTTATCCTCATCCCACTCGCTTCGGCGTTCAAGATAGTTCTGGTAGTGTAGACGGCAACTAATGGCGCTCCGGCCGGGAAGCCGCCTGCTGATATCCTCCCACTTCATCCCACTCCCACGCAGCTCGATGATCAACGCATCTTCTTCGGGAGACCATTTGGATTGCTTCTTAGCCGGCGATTCAGCCGTATGGGCGGGCTGTAGACGTTTGGCCGGTATGGAGGCGGGAATTTTGGTGATGGATGGAGGAGGCACTGATGGACCAGACACTGGAGATGATGCAATCGACATTGGAGGAAGTACCGGTCCTGAAGGCACTACTCTCGATGGAAATGCGGCCGTACTGGTTCCCGGGGGACTCCTTTCCTCCTCATCTTGAGGTTTTAGAAGCAGTGAGATATCCACTTTGGCGGAAGGCAGCAAAGCTGGGTTTTGTAAGGCAATCATATGCGCGACTCGCAAAGACGTGCGGTTTTGAAAGAGAAGTAGATAGTAAGAGATAGTAGCATCCAACAATGGACAAGCAAACAAGAGAAAAAGGCAGGTAGTACGATGAAGCAAGCACACGGAAGGACAAGAAATAAAAGAGAATAAGAGGAAGCAGAATAAAGAAAAAAGGATAAAATGAGAGAGCTTCGAGCGTGGTGGTGGGTTTTCTTTGGTGATGACGGGTGACGGCGTTGGTGATAGTCAAGTGAACCGCCCACAGGCCGGAGGAAAGTCTCGAACGAGCAAAGGACGAACAAGGATCAATGAGAGTGAAACAATCCGGTAGGACCCCTGTTTGGTTCTTTGCCTCAAAGCCCAACGGTTTGATAATGGCCCAGCGCGGAAGGATCCGGCGAGTAATCCGGCAACGTGGAAAAAGCTAGGAAAATTCAAGGAAAAAGAAACGACGAGGATCGAAAGTGAGATGAGAAGGTGATAGACACTAAAAAAGAAGAAAGAAGGTATGCAGTTTGGATGGATCGAGACCAAACAAATCAGACGACAGGGAAGATGAAATATAGAGCCAAAAAAGACCCACGATATCGCAGGGTTAGAGAAAGCAAGAGGGGAATAAATGGGTCAGGGAGAGAGAGAAAAAAAAAAAAAAAAAAAAGTAAAGAAACGAACAAGTCAATTCGAGTCAGACAAGAAGAGAAAATGATAGAGAAAATGATTGCCAGTAAGACCGGGGGTGGAAGTTAAAAAAAAAAAAAGAAAAGAAAAGACAACCGGCTAGTAGATGTACGAATCGGAAAATAGAGACGAATAGGAGGAAATGAAGAAAAGAGATGAAAGAAAAGAGGAGAGAGAGAAAGCGAGAGAGAGAAAGCGAGAGAGAGAGAGAGAGAGAGAGAGATGAAACAGCCTGAGATGCATCGGATGGAAAAGAGATCATCGGCTTGACAGCTGATCCATTCAGCAAATAAGAAACCGGGTTTTACGGGGGAATAACAGGCATGAATAATTGGAGACGATGCTGATGAGGATCTACTGACTCGGATGTCCTGTGTTTATTTGTTCATTCTTAAGAGTCCACTGGTATATAGTAGTGTATTATTGTGATATGACTTGGACCGAGTCGGGACTCTCTACGACGAGAAATGATAATGAGTATTAGAGGACTATAGGAAATGACCTCTGTTACTGGCGGTCAGTTGTTGTATGAATTTCCATAATAATACTGGTATGATAAGGTCATTTTTGTACAGAGTACTTTGTTGGTACATAGCAATTAGCATACTCTGACTTTACTCGCAAATGTTTATTATTATCACTTGTTTTATTTTATTTTGTTTTGTTTTGTTTTTTCTGTCTCCTTTCTATTCCATCTTCTCGATATATTACTACGAAAAAAGAAAAAAAGAACATGGTTCCTCCCGGTGGACCAAACCCGCCACACAACGGCCGATAGTTCAAACGGGTAGGATGCATCCCGGCGCACAGCGTCAGAGTCTAAGCCGGGTGAGCAGCTCTAAAGCACGCTAAATGTCCGGCCGAAAGACGTTAGATTATTATGACTTTGACCCCCCCTTGTTAATAAATTCTCCGTCTCAACGGCTTTTCCTTCTTCTTCCCCCCCGGTTCCCACTTCTTATTCTTACCGGAACCCAGGGTACTCTGTACCGCGCTGCATAGGTACTAGATCATCATAATGGATCTGTCACTAACTGAAAAAAATAAAATAAAACCGAAAAAATATATAAAACGGACGAACGCATTTCTTCGCTTTAGACGGCAAGTCATGTCCTGGGTCGTTAGGGCTTGAATCCAGACAAGGCAAGGACACTACGAGGGTCCGACTTTTGGTGCTGTTCTACGTATCATCGTGTCTAGACTTACTCCGTACATTCATGCTTATTATTATTATTACTTTTCTTTGTTCCTCCCCCCCCCCCCCCTCTTTCAATGTAGTACAGCGGAAGTCGCGTTACAATCCGATGAACACGCATTCAATCGCACTGCATCGACTTTAAACCTCCGGCCGGTTCCTGTCGTACGATGATATCCTCATCCGACATGATTCTTGTTCGAGCTCTATCCAGCCAATCAGCATGGAGAGTCACAAACCGGTTGTGATACAGTAGGTTCTCCTACAATATGCTTCTCTCTCTTTTTTTTTTTTTTTTTTTTTTTTTTTTGTCGATAATCTACCATTTACGTATGGACTGCTCTGTACAGAACGTGCGGTGCTGTCATTTTAACCTCCCCCGGTCTAGCTACTGTCTAGAACGTTCACGATCTCAATTTCTCCGGGTGGTTAAATTGGGACCCGTTGATCGTTCGGGCCTGGAACCGGAAATGCTGTAGTACAACAGGATTCGTCTACTTTTACTACGAGTAGTAGTACTGGAACCAAAGGATGAAGTACCTAGGTACTTGTGCATGCCGACGTACTATCTATAATTTTTCTTTTCTTTTTTGGAGCGTCTTTGGAGTTGCCCAAACCAGATAATAGTATTTCTGTCATTCAATAGCTAATGCTGTTCCCCGCCGAACCCGTGGCTAAATGCGGTCCACCGGATGCTTTCAGTATTATTATGACTATTCGCCCTGTCATCTCGATACGAGGGATAGACGCATACAGATAATTAGGGTTTCTGGACTATACTCTGTAGAGTTAAGCGACAAGCTCTATTGTTTTTCTTGTAAGGCTAACCCGTCTCTCTGTACTCCGTACCTACAAGTAGTAAGACCTCGGCATTCCGTACAAGAAATATTTCGTAGTCCCTGAAATAAACCACGGCTCGTCTTCGAACGACGGGGCGGTCGGCGGCGACGGATTGTGGGGACGTGACAAGGGGCTCCCGCCAAACTGCAAGATTACCTAGGGACCTGTGGGGACCGATGTGGGGACCGGTGGACAGAAACCACGTATGATATTACAGTACAATACACCATCCCTTACAGACTACGGGGGTCAGAATGCTCTGTCCATGCAAAAAATTATTTGTTCCGGGTGGGGTAGACAGGTGGAGAGTGGGAATAATAAACCAATCGTTACTCACCGGGTTGACAGCCACCGGTGGGGCAGAGACGGTCGGCTTAGCTTTCGAATGGTCAAGGGCGCTGAGTGAAGCATTCTGATCGAGTACAGAGTACTCCGGAGTACATACGAAGTAATTTGGTAAACAGGCTGTACTTTGTAAAGTGCCATGTCATAATCGCTAGTTGTTTTTTAATGATGACGAACGTTTCTAGATCATCTGACGGTGACCCGAAACTGTTCCAGGAATCCCGTTCCATCGAACCGAGAGAGGTTCATCTTATGGTCTTTGACTGCAGTACTACTCATGCTACTTGTATGTGCAAGTATTATTATCATCTGCAAAGTAAGAATACTCACGCTCAGGCAAATTCGGAGTTCTCCGGCCTCGTACTCTGTCGAGAACAGACAATGAGATTGTTGGGCTTGTGCGATGGCAAATAAAAAAAAAAAATAAAAAAAAAATAAATAAAAAAAAAGCACGACACTCTTTTAAAATAGCGGTGGGCAAGGCCTGCCGTGGGCCTAGAACATGTGTTCCTCCCATGGATGATCTTTGCGGGAGACGTTGAGCTGCATCATTCAGTCATTCATTCTTTGCTGTCCAAGAGTCGAAACTCTACCGGTACTGATTAAACATACAAGCATGTATATGTACCATGTACAACGTAACCCTAACCACTCAAAAGGAGAAAAATTGACGAATTCTGATCCATCGCAGAACGACTCTGCATGATCCCGGTTAGTATTGCCAGGTCACGAACCCGACACCATTGGACCAACAGAACCAGTGGGACTGTACGAGGACTTCGTGCTCCGTAGTAATACGCTCTTTGTCTATTCCTGGTGCACAATCATCACTGATCGTCTGGCAGGGAAGGGCGAGAAAATTTTCCGACTGGCAAACATGCGGGATCCACTCGCTCCAGGGGTTCCAGTAGTATTTCTTACGGCAAGTCATATGACTGTACAGGGTACAGAGACAGCGTACATATACATAGTACTCCGTAGTGTTGTTAGTAGCAGCATAGTTCACTGCCAATATATCATAACTTAATTATGTGTTCGTGCCAAAGTTACCTTTAAACTCAATTATAGTAGTAGTATATCGATGTTATCATCACCGTTACATACCGTTGACAATACGACACGCGGTCTGCAGACTTGAAGTGGAGTCTCATGACTCGAACGACAAAACAACAGGCGACTCAGCACGCTTATGTATATTATTTCCTGGAAATTATACAGATGAAACGGTCTCGGGATTCCCAATCGTTTGTGGCAAAGCTGAAAAGTGGCCCTGTGGCTATGTGTTTTCATAAGAAAAAAGACTGCTGCCCAACAATGCTATGTACTACTACAGAGTACAGAGTACTCCCATCGTATTCCTTCCAGACTACTACTCTCTGTGTTACCTGTTTGTGCTATAACAAAGCAAATTGGATCATCATTCCGTGCTGAAAATAGAACATCGTGGATTACGTAGCTGCGTAATCACTGCAGGGCCTCATCTCGGAGACTTGAGGATACGGGTACTCTATCCGCCAGAGAACTCACCTGTCACTTTCCCAAGAGAGATTAATTCCCGGGCCCATCATTCGGTCATCTTGCCTTCATCTTAATTTCCCATCTCGCTTTTTCTCCTTCCGGAAGGACTCTCAAGAACTAAGTACGGAAGTACGAGGATTGTACGGAGTACTTGTGCCCTGTGCTTGTGCATATATGTATTTCGTTTCTCCTCGGCTTTACATGTGGATCAGACAAGTCGATCGCCCTAATTCTACGATCAACTACTCGGAGTACATCTCATTCCACGCATTAATCAAGCAGAAACTTTTTATCCCGTGTACATTCATGGCAGGAAACGGGACTTCACGCGCCAGATCGTGATACCACGCCCGGAAGTTGTACCTGTAGTGCGCCATTGCGCTGCCTTCGATTGACTCAGCGCCAACCGATCCATTCTTTCCGTGATGATGACTGTGATCCAGTGGCAGAGCAAATCCCTGCAGGGCACGGAGCGAGTGTGCTCCATACAGAGCACAGAGAGTATGGAGTACGTACACCCTCTGTACGTCCTCTGCACGGTGTACAGCATACAGGGTATTTCGTGCAAACACACAGGCAAACAGACAGCACGTTCCGGCCCATCGTTGAAACTGCCTGGAAGGATGAGGGGAATGGATCAATGTTCTCGACTGGGCTAGACTTCTCCCTTGTGCGGCAAAAGCAGTAACAGCAGGCGGAGGAATGGACAAGGCTTTCATTAAAGGGAAGCGCTTGGGCTGGTATGCTCCACATCCAAACAACGTGAAACAACAGGGCGGTTGCTGCAACTGTCCGTGGACTGGCGAGTGAGGTCTTTTCTCTCGGGATATTATCGCTCTGTTATTATCTTTACTATCCTGGAAGTTCTCAGCAACAGTGATTCGTATTGCAAGTAGCCAACACAGCAGGCCCAATGAAAAGAAAAGTGATGGGGTGTGATGGACAACCATTATTGACTCCTGGCAAATGAATGGCAAGCCACATCACAGTGCAACCGGTGATTCATGAATTGACGATTTACTCCTCACTTTCTCGGGGAAAAGAGCCCTATTCGCAGAGTCTTTGCTTATGCGCATTACTGGTCCATTATTTCTTTCCGGTCAATAATGAGACTGGCCTATCTCTCTATCAGTACTACCGAGCCCAACGTATGAGTAAGTCTGGTCTGTGTGGCCTGGATGCTTTGGATTCCATGGAACTTTTGCTATCCAAGAAAGGAAAGATAAACGAAGCAGAAAATTGTGAAAGTGACCTCTCATTTGGTTTGTTCACGCTGAGCATGTAGAGAGTACTATGTACGTTGATGTACTCAGGGAGCTGTCCAAAAACATAGTGAATGTAGGGCGTGGCCTCGAGTGCCTACCGCAACAGTATACTATCCGAGGGCAAAGAGTTATCGAAATAGAACGCTCTCTTCTTTCATCTTCCTGTCAAAGCCCATTCTTTATTCCACCGAGAATAGCTGCCAAAGATCTCATCTGTGTTCTTTTTTTTTTTTTTTTCTCGATGCCATTGCTATGGGCTTCTTTCATTGTATTTCTAAGATTAGCACACCAGAGAAGAGTCAAAGAACGACTCCAAAGAACACCAACCAGTTTTTTACCGTCGCATAATTCACTACTTCTTTGTCGACTAAACAATGAGACCACAGACTAAGTTGGAAATATATCAAGCAGCAGACAGATCTCCAGGGATAAATTCGCTGTTAACCGCCTATGGATAGAGACTGAATTCGCAATGGACCTTTCCAACTTGTTTGGTAACCCCCCATACTTCTATATCTTGCCTCTGTTAATCTGCGCTTTCTTTAGGAATCAACGCTCTGACAGGCTAATTAGACAGATAATGTCCGCCCAACAGAACGATGCCCCGAGAGGAAAGTCTCAAGGGGAAGTAAGTCACATCCCAGACCGACCTTGCTAGCTCTCTGCTAACTTCTTTCTCACTCAACAGCCATGTCCGATCTCACCGAACTGGAAGCCTCATGTCAAGCCGTTCGATAATCCTCTCAACCGAGGGTTCAAAAGACCCGGGAATCTTTGCTTCCGAAACTCCACGATCGCGCTACTCGTCCATAGTCCCACCTTATTCAACTGGCTCTCTACCTACGTGAACCACCACAAGCATAAAAGCCCGGATGGTGAAGGATGCATCCTCTGTGCGCTATTTGAGGTTATGCAGGTATATTGGTCTGAAGGCCGCCTTCGCAAGGAGCACGAAGAACGAATGAATACGCTCTGGAACATCGTGGTTAGCCTCTACCCTGGTTACAACACCGGTCAGCATGATGTACCTGAGTTCTTGGAAATTTTTTACAGCATGCTATACGATGCTACAGATGTCCAACAGTAAGTAGCCTTCCAAATATGCCCTTTTTAACAGAGATTTTGAAAACTAACGCCTCTTGCAGCCATGCAGACCTTGATCATTTGTTCAAGGTCATCAAGGTCGAGTACGATGCTTGTGGAATGTGCCAACATGTAGGTACTTCCACAAAGACTTCTTCTCTTATTCTTCCAGGCTCATGCCAGAGCAATAGAGCATCCATTACGGTTGAAGATGCAATCAAGGAGGTATTCACGAATTTTATTACAGCAGCTAACTGCGAAAGATGCCAGAAGAAGGGTTATCGGACTGACTGGTTTGCAAGCTCACCCGAGAATCTCTTTGTGCAGTTTCACGGAGGAGACACTCAACAGACCAACACGCAGGTTCAACTTAAAAATAGGCTTGTCATCCCGGAGGGGTGTGTATTTGAGGAATTGCAGGATAAAAGAAAGCTTGAATATGAGCTTTACGGCGTCGTTTTTCACAAAGGAACGAGTTTCCAAGGTCACTATACTATCGCAGTCAGAGGCCCTAACGAAGGATGGACGGAGATCGATGACCTTAAGTCAAACCCCTTGGAAGAAACTAAATTCCTTGCGTCACAACAAAATCGCCGAGACGCCTACCTGTTGGCATATCGAAGGGTGAGAAGCCGGGACAAGACAGAGCAAAGCAAGCCCTCTTACCCACCCAATAATCCGCCATCTGCAACCCCTTTGAAAGTTCTTGCCACAAAACCTGCCTCCGAAGGTAAATTGCCCCATGCAAGACCAGCTAATAATGACAATCAGGTTAAGTTGGAGCAGACCATCCGGCCTGAAGGGGCAGCCATGCCGTGGGCACACATTCTTAACTTAGATCACTCCGCGGGGACACAATTTGAACCAAAGGACCAAGATATCGAATTGGGAATGAAATGCACTTTACCGACAGGTGAGATCGTTGAAGGATCAGGGAGCATATCGCTAACCTTGAGTGGGTCTCGAAAGCGAGCAAGGGAGCCTGCAGAGATTGCAGATGCGAAAATGGCGAAGAAACGAAAGGCTGAACCAAAGGCTGCTGCGAAGAAGGCCTCAAAACGAACGCGCCGTGCGGAGTCTGATGCACCGTACGAACCTGATAACCCTCGGTCGGAGCGAAAACGGTGATATATATCGGCACGGAGAACAGTAAAGCAAAGTTATAGATTTTTTAATTTGTATTTTGATAGCCACTAGTGATTTAAGTATATAGAATTTGATTTGCCACTTTTTATTGAGCAAGTTGACTTTTTTTTCTTCGCTTTGAATTTCCTTATTGTATAGTAAAGCATCATTTTGTGAGATAACGGACGAAGTCCACTGTTATCTCATTTACAACAACCACGTACCATGGAGATCCCAGACAGTGACGATGAAGAAGAAGAGCTCCTCCCAGATACGATTCAGAATGAATATCCTAAACTCCAAAACAAACCTATATCATCGCCCGTCCAATTCGTCGAGCGTATCCTCTTTCAACTCAACAATATATCATCGACACCGCAACAGCACCACAACCAGCAGCAGCAGCATGAACAGCAGCAAAACCCCTTTTCTACCCTCTCAAAACCCCAGGCCTCCCAGGTCAAGCCACTAATGCTAACATTGCACTGTCTCTTCCCCAACGAACTACTCCTTGCACTCGACATCCTGGACCGGGGACTCGTGAGACGCCTGGTAAGAGGGAACCAAGAAGAAGTGTGCGATCTTGAAATTGACACGCCTTCCCCCTCATCTTTTCCTCATGGGCTATTTTCGTCTCAAGTCCCGCTTGTGGAAAATTCCGGCAGAGAGCCAGTCGAGGATGTGTTCCTTGTCATATCTGCGGCTTCTTCTGCTTCCATTTTTACGTCTACGACTACTCGTCAAGAAGGAGTGAAAGGGTACGAAGTTCGTCTGAGTGCATGGAACTGCACGTGTCCAACTTTTATTTTTTCTGCGTTTCGGGGAGAGACGGATTCCGGGGAGAGTCACCATCATGATCAAAGTGACGACGACTATATATATGGGAATTCTGCGAGCGTCGCTGAACAAGGATGCGCTAGAACCTATCACTTTGGCGGAACTTTGACTCGTGGTCCTACTAGACTATCTCCGCCCAGCTGTAAACATCTACTGGCCTGTTTTCTGTTCGTTCGCTGTCCGAGGTTTTTTGGAACAGGAGAAGGCGCAGAACCATACCGCGTCAGTGCAAAAGAGCTGGCAGGCTGGTGCGCCGGTTGGGGTGGGTGATCCATCTATGTTGCAGCAGGCCTTCATTTAAGTCATACATCAAGATACATCAAGATACCAAGGTTGTCTCAGGACGAGAGCAAAACCAACCGCTCAATCATAATATACATTCCAATGCAGAGATTGAATTGTTCTAAATGGTTCGTTATCAATATCGACTGGGTTGCCCGGTCCAGCCATAGAATTATGGAGGCATGGAAAAACCTCAGATTACCCGCATTACGTCCCCTAGTTCTTAGACGACTTCTCCTTGGAGCTATCCTGCTCCTTCTTTTCGCCATTCCCTGCCCCACTGGCCTTCTTTGCGCCTTCTTCCTTTTCAGCCTTGATGGCATTCACCTCCTGCTCCTTCTTCGACTCGTTCTCTTCTTGTTGCTGCCGGTTCTGGATCTTGTTTTCGATCAGGTCGTGGAATGCCGTGATCGCGCGGATCAGACTGCTGATGTAAATCGCCATCATTTGGTCGTTGGTCTTGATGCTCATTGCCCGTGCCAGCTCGCTGTTCTCCGTCTGTGTCTCCGTACCGCTGATCCGTGGTCCTGTGGATGGTGTCGACAGGTTGGGAAGTAGGTTGAAGACGTCCTGGAGATGTCCCAGGATAGCGTGGTTAACAGGAAGTTCACGGTCGAGGACCTTCTGGAGGTATTGGCCGATGTCACGGAGTCGCAAATGCAACCCCTGCAACGACTGGAGTTGCGAAGTTATCCGAGTAGAAAGGGTTCCGACGGCCACGTCTCTAATGTCGCGAAGAAGATGCTCCACACCGATTTCCTCCGCTTCCTCAGCCTCGATTACAGATGGGGTATGGACGAAAGTTCGCGAAGTTGTAGTACCGTCCTAGCAACCCGGCCGTTAGAAAGGTATTTTTACTGGATACAAGGGATAGTAGCATCATAGAACAACTCACATCCTTAATCTCGTCAACAGCAAAGTAGGCATCTGTGGGAACGCCAACCTCCTTCGGTTGCACGTCGACAATCACCAGCAAGGGATTAGGTGTGTATTTCTTGAACAACTCGTTGATCTCCAGATCAGAGGCGCGCAGTTTCGGACCCGAGTGGTACCATCCAATAAGCTTCTCACGAGCATTGATTTTCTTGAACATGTCCCTCATGGACTCGATGAAGTTGTGATCTAAGAACCAAACCGACGGATCTTTTTCATCTTCTTCGAATGGAACTGTTTGTGTATAACAACCTCGTCAGTAACAGACAGTTTCGGGGGGGGGGGGAAGCGTGTGAACACGACGCACCAGCAAAGCTGTTTGATACCCGAACTGTCTGGCCAGTATTCTCTCCTAGAAGCACACCCACAACACGCTTTTTAGTCCCCTTGGCAGTACGTCCATAGTGATCTGCGACGGAAAGAAGAACGAGAGGGGCGACAGTGACGGTCTTAGTGACGAGGGAGAGGGTCTCCGCCGTGGTAGCAGGCATGGCGGAAACGAGGCGAGTAGAAAGACGACTGACAAAAAGGGGAATCCGCGAGAAGAAAGGAAGGAAGATTAATGATGAGTAGTCAGAGTCCAAGATAGGAAAGGGAGAAGGAGAAGACAAGATAGAGCCAGCGATGGGATAATTGGCGTGATGACGATGAATGAAGCTGTTGGACTTGCTGGGAAGCTCCGCAGCGGTACCGCGCCACAGTGGCTGACACTACTAACCAGCCACATCATTATATATGCCTGAGGCGTCATTCCCGGTGTATCACGTGGCCGTCAAGAACGGATCCGTCAATTGTACGAACCGGGCGCTCGTGCGGGCAATCGGATTTAATTGTAGACGGAAATTGCAAAGTAGTATATGCATCCGATTCAATTGAACACTTATAACTATATAGTAGCACATACCACGTAGTCCATGTAGTCTGTTTGCAGAATTACTTCCCGTAAGTACTCCCGTAAATGCTCCCCCACGGCAGCGAACCTCGGAGGGTCCGGCGGTTAGTCTTCCGCCCCGTTCTTCACCAGCCAGCCCATCTCCAACTTGGCTCTTTTTCTTCCCTACTTCCGTCGCTTCCATTCCCCCGTCTCAGCTCTCAGCCTCTGGGGTTCTCTTGCCTATAAACTCTCCTCTCCTCTCCGCTCTCAGTTTGTCCTCTATCATTTTCTCTCGAAACGTCATACTTCGTTTCTCTTAATATCCACAAATCGCAATGGCTCCCATCACAGAAGAGGCTGTTTCGAGCCTGAAGGATATGGTCGGAAAGCTCGAAGCTCGAGTGCAGGATCTGGAAGGCCGCCTCACCAATGGCTCCAACAAGCCCAAGTCCGTTGCGGAGCAGATGCGCATCATCTTGATGGGACCTCCCGGTGCCGGTAAGAGGACTTCTCTTTGATTGAGAAGGTATGGCGTACATTAACTATTAAACAGGCAAGGGTACCCAGGCCCCCAAACTCAAGGACGCCTACTGTGCGTGCCACTTGGTAAGTTATTCCGTTGCCAATTTCTCATCGAATTTTCGCTGACAGACTTCTCTTTCGTGCATAGGCTACCGGTGACATGCTGCGGTCACAAGTCGCCAAGAAGACCGACCTGGGACGGGAGGCTAAGAAGATCATGGACCAGGGTGGTCTGGTTAGCGACGATATCATGGTTAACATGATCAAGAGCGAGCTTGATAACAACGCTGAGTGCAAGAACGGGTGCGTGGAGACTTTTTTGCGGAAGATAAACGATAGGATAAATATCACTGACCACAGATATTCAAACATACAGTTTTATCCTGGACGGTTTCCCTCGTACCGTTGCCCAAGCTGAGCGCCTGGATGACATGCTTAACCAGCGCAACCAGAAGCTCCAGCACGCCGTTGAGCTGCAGATTGACGATGCCCTTCTGGTCGCAAGAATTACTGGCCGTCTGATCCACCCCGCCTCTGGACGGTCGTACCACAAGATCTTCAACCCTCCCAATCAGGACATGAAGGACGACGTCACTGGCGAGCCGCTGATCCAGCGCTCCGACGACAACGTCGACGCCCTGAACAAGCGTTTGGTGACATACCACGCCCAGACCACCCCGGTTGCTGACTACTACAAGAAGACCGGCATCTGGCGGGGTATTGATGCCAGCCAGGAGCCTGGCCAAGTGTGGAAGAGCCTTCTCGGTGTTTTCCACAAGAACTAAATTTAAAAATTTGAGCTTCGTGGAGCTTCCCTTATAATCTGGAGAAGCAAAAATCATACGCGAGAAGAGTTGGGACCAACTGGACACGGTCATGTGTGAATGCAGGTTTATGGATGAAGGATAGAAGTCGCGATTTATACCATGGTAAATAAACACCTGGCAGGAATTCCAACGTTATGTATAGTATTCACGTTGTGGAATTAAATTTCAACAATGACAAAGTTATACGGTTATGCTTCTAGTAGTGTCCACATTGTCAGGGTGCCGCCATTTCATGGAGGGTGCATCAAATCCCAATCCGTGGTACGTCTTGATATTGTATACTCTTGATGTTTATGAGTATCAACTGTCGCCTAGTTCTTACAAGGATTATTATTGCCAGAATTTCTTTTGGCCCGAAACACCAACAATTGCACACCGTTATAACAGAGATTATGAGTGGTATAGCCCTAATCTATAACATGACTGCACTACAAAAGAACCCTCTAAAACGCCTAGAACGACTGCCCCTAGCGAACCGCTTCGTTTTTCTTTCATCCGGTTGACTACCGTCAATCGTCCTGGAGTGTTTTGTGGGAGAAGTGGTCTCAACCCTTGACACAGGGAGCTTATGTCGATGGTCCAACTGATGCAAACTCCAGTATGAATAGTTTGCAGTGGCCATGATTGACTCTCGTTCAATTTCTTTATGGCCTGCAGCGCCCTGTCCCATTTCCTTCACCAGGCTGGCCTCTTTAACCATCCAACAACGCCGTTTCACAACTGTCATCTGTGAAGTACGAAGGTACTACAGTTTCCCTTACTTTTGCAGCCTTAGCATGTGCGGTTGTCCATATATCAAGTAAAGTCTTTGTTGAAGGCGCAGTATCATCTGATGTATTGGAAGTGCTGGTTTACTAGGAGGTCGAACCACAACATAGATTACCTCATATTTGTATCCTCTGTTATTTTACCTGAATTACTTTGTACTTCGTAGTGCATGAGACTAAATTTGCTCTTGGAATGTCGTTACACATTTGAGTGCAACTTATAGCTGCAAAGGATAAACAGTCGACTCAATGTTCTCAGGATAGGTCAAACCGCCCTGCCGCCTGACCTCATCCATGACCTCCATGATAACAATACTCTCTTCCAAAGGCAGAGTATCACTCTCGAGCTTCCCATCACGCAAACAACGCGCAACCTCATCAGCCTCCCAGTACATGCCCTTCCCATTGCCAGGGAATGGGCACTCAACATCCTTGATCTCGCCTTCGCCCCTCTTGGGAATAATACGGTAACTCTCTGGCCGGAACGCCGGGCCTTCCACCTGGATTTCGCCCTTGGTTCCTTGAATGCGGATCGTGGGACGGCTGGAACCCTTCTCATCTGGATCGGTAGACACCCGAAGGTTCGTCATGGCCACCGCTGTTGACTGGCCTGGGTGAGAGTTATTGGATGGGGTGGAGGTTGGAAAGCTAAGGAGCATTGTGGTTGCTTCGTCTGCGCCGGTGAGGTTGTAGAGGGACATGTGTGCGGAGACGGCCGAGGGGGGTTTGCGCTGTTCTCGAGGAAGTGTGTGGTAAAGGGTTTGGAAGACCCAGGTCAATGAGTAGATTCCCACTGTAAACGAAAAGCCATCAGCATCCGGCTCCTATTGAAACAAGAAAAAACCATCAAAGGACGAAGAATAAAAAACTTACAGTCCAACAAGCAACCCCCAGCAAGATCCTTGTTTACCATCCGGTGCTTAGTTCCCCATTTATCCTCAACATCATCCCCGAAGCTGTTATCCGCCATCACACGCAGAACCTCGCCAATCGCTCCTTTCTTAATCAACTCCCTGATCTGGACACTCAGCGGGAAGTATCGAGTCCACACAGCCTCCATCAAGAACAGGTTCTTTTTCTGCGCCGTTTCGCATAGAATCTTGGTCTGGGCCGCATTGACAGTGAACGCCTTCTCACACAGCACATGCTTCCCGGCTCCAAGCGCGAGCATCACATTCTGATAGTGGTGCGAATGCGGCGTCGCGACGTAGACCACGTCCACGTCCGGGTTGGCCACGAGCTCCTCATATGTTCCGTAGGCGGCACAAGGACCGGGAATGCCTGTATCGGCGATGAACTTGTCCGCACGCTCCTTGGATGAAGAGGATGCGACGGCCGTGACTATGTGGGAGACGTCCGAGGCGTCTCGGAGGGTAGGGTCGTTTAGGAGATCTCGTACGAAGACTGTGTACGTCATTCATTCATCAGCGAGGGAGGGCACTCTCGTCCATGGGAAACTTGAAGCACGTACCATCGGCAATCCATCCTGTGGCTATACTCATAAAAAAAAAAAAAAAATCTCTTGGTCAGCTCAGGAATGCAGTGCGGGGAAACTCGACCACATACCCATAATACCCCACCGAACGTTGTATGGTGCCATGGTGACTGTTTGAGGAATCAAATGTGACAGAAGATGATAGATTGGAAGAGTAGCTCAGACAGGTGATAGAAGACGAGGAGGGAAGAGGTAGGTTTTGTACCTGGACTCAATTGAATTAATTCGCCGAGTGGAGAGAGGGAAAAGAATCCCCGCTTCCGACGTCACTATTGAAAGAACCTTATATGAGATGGAACAAAAACGAATGTATTGTTTTGGAATATACGTGGCATTATGTATGGTTACTACTATGCTGCCGTAGAATAAAGAGAGCAAGATCGAGTAAGACTCTTTGCTCATGTTATGAAAAGAAGAAACAGGCGCCCGCTATATGCACGCTTCACAAGTAGAAAGAGAAGAAACGACCCCGATGTACTCAAACCACCTCCAGTCCAATCAAACGGGTTCCATTTTGACTCGAACATGATGCCCAGGAGAGTCAGTGCCCTGCGATATATGGTTAGTTAAACTGGACTTGAAGCGAGTCGCCCAAGATAATCTTACTTCTGCCTTCCGCTTGCCCAGCACAGAATCCGGAGTGCTAGTGCGTCCTATATGCGTATTTCCACCAGCAGGGCCTGGCCCATCTTTGGTAACTTCGGAATAGCAACTGGCGTGATAGACACGATTCCCAACCTTGACCGCATCTTGCCAGATCCAATCCTGGACTTCCTCGGACCACGTCGACTCGAACTTCTCCTGACAGATGGGACATGGTGTGTTTCGCAAGGTTGCATCGTTCGGGGCGTGGATCCATTGCTTTGAGGGGCCTTTCTTTGCTGAACTGCCGTCGGCACCGGCTACACTATCTCCGGAAGCTTCTGCATCGGCGAGACTCTGGTCATCTCCGACTTCTCGGGATTTGATCCAATCCCGTTCATCGACATACCAACTGCGGTTTTGAGCCCGCTTGGCAGCTTCTGCCATTCGTTGGTTCGTCTTAAAATGCCAATCCAAATGGCGCGCCTTCTTTTCTTTCCCTTCCTCCGTTGCAAAAAATCGACGACCGCATGTTCCGCACCGATTCGATTTTGCTTCGTAGAGACTAGCGATTAGACCATGCCGTGGTATCTTAATAGACGCAGTATTCATCTGCACGTCCATGGAATTCTCTGAGGTACTCATAGCCTGTGGGGCTTGTACAGGAGGCGTAAATCGCACCTGACCAGGAACAATGAATGGAAATGCAGGGGAAATATTCGGTGTCGGCGCGGTCGAAGGAGGAGCAGAATTCCCTGGCAAGAGACCTCGCGCCCTCAGCGCCACAACAAGAGGGTTTTCGGGAGTCGATGCGGCAGCGGGCTGCGGAGTACTATTCCCTGTCGGCATTTGAGGCATGATGTTCGCAGGTGGGGGAGTGGGCTGCTGGCGTGCTGCTGTTGCTTTAATAAGTCCCGCCAAGGTCCCTGAGTTCAAAAGTTGCTGAAAAGGTTGTGAAAGGGGTTGAGCCGGCGCGGCTGCCATAGCTGGAGTTGAAACTGCTGGAATGGGAGGAACGGCCTGAGCAGTCGGTAACACCGGCTTCGGACCCAAGGCAGAGACTTGGTCTCGGACTAATCTCAGCTGCTCTTGCGTCAGTTCCTGGCGCTGCAGAATACCCTGTAAATCTAGCAGAGCTTTCAATCGTTGCTGTACAGAAGGATCGAGGGGGTTATTGGTAAATTCGCCCCGGGCTGCTGCGATCAAAGACTCTATGTCTCGATTCAACGCCGCTAGATCGACCTCTTGGGATTGCTGAGGAGTCGGAGTGAATCGCAGGGGGTATGAGTTTTCCTAATCCATCTCATTAGTCCTTACTGTACAGGATAGCGCACAGCTTTAAATCGACATGAAGCTTACCATAGACTGGTAACCGGGGGTTTGTCCATTCGGAGGGTATTGGCGAGCATTCTGGAGCATTGTCGGGCTGTTAGTCCAGCCAGGAGGAGTCGCAACTCGGCTCCTAGTTCGAATTTCCTGATGACTCCTGGCCTGCTGTTGCTGGAGAGCGGCTGTTCTCGCTTTTATCAGGGCACTCTCAATGCCGCGCGTAATATTAGGAGGGAAGACAGGTCTTGTGTCCAATGAGCCCGGAACCGGCTCTTTCCACGTCTTGAGCATTTCATCCAGCTTGCGGCGAGTTTGCGAGTCGACCAAGGTGTAGGCATTCATGAACGTCTGGTACATGTTGCGGCCCAGGAATAGAGTATAGGGAGTCCCTACATTCTTGACAATTGAGTCGACTACATATAGAGCAGGCAACTTCTGCGTAGGTGGTGTCTACAACAAGAAAACAGCACGATTAGAAGCCATTCGACCAAGCATACTACAGGGACATAAACAGGAACAAGACAAATTGAAGAAACAAGAGCATGAGCACCTACTGTTCGGATATGATTCTCCAACACGCGCGAGATGGCCATTGCATGTTCTGTGTTTTCCTTTGCAATGACCGTCAGATTGCTGATTTGGAAGCGGTCGTTGGTGGTGAGGTCTTCCAAGGAATTCTTGTAGTCCTCGGCCACTTCGTCAGAAGCCAGTCCAGACATGATGGCGAATGATAGCAGCTGTACAGCAGTCAGAGAACCTGGTCAAGGGCTGCCAGTGTCCTGTGGAATTGGAATTGTCCTCCTCTTCTGGTTTTTTCTTTTTTGCTTTCTTCTTTTCTCACTTTTTTTTTTTTTTTTTTTTCCTCCTTGTTTTTGCCAAAAATGAAGCAGTCTCCTGAAAGTACAAGAGATGGAAAAAGTGTCGGAACTTGTAAAATGCTTGCTAGCTATCTTCGCGAGTCTCAAGACAACAAGAAGAGGACGACGCAGGTGTCAAATCCTCGACCAAGAGCAGAAACGCAAATACGGAAGAGAAACGCAGAAAAGAACGTAAGATAAAACCCGCAAGCACTTCCTTCCTCAACTGTATATATCTACCTCACTAGACAACCTGTCCGATTGAACCTTCCAGTAGACCACAAGTATCAGAGACAGAAGAACGAAGCTGGTCCCAATCCCGATAGTAATAACACTGGTTATTAAGGGAAATAAAAACTGGCTGATAAGGGTATCGAAGCGAGGAAGCGGAGAGCAAAGGTCGAAACTGAGCTCAGGAAATGTCGGAACCAAGATCCTCGAAAATGGAAACCGATCAATTTATGCAAGCCGAAAGATTGAGAGAACCAGCTGTCGGCGTAATTCGTGCTGTAGAGTGCTGTAGATGGCGGGTCAAGAAGACAACGACAAGAAAAGCCGCAAGCGCGGAGGTGAAGACGAGAGAGAAAAAGGAAGAAAAGAAGCACGCCAAGACCCAGATGCTGAGTCAGCGGATATGACGCAGCTGGTCGTTTCGTATCGCATAGTTGTACATCCAGCAGGAGTAGCACTGCAGTAGTTTCCTCTCCTATTCTATCCATACTATACAATACATTCTTATATCGACTGACTTTGTTAAATAAACGGCTACAAGATGAAGCTCTCTCTCGCAACTGCGCTTGTCGGCCTTCTGCCGCTGGCTATGGCCAAATCCATCATCGTCTACTATCCTAAAGGCACACCGTCGTCAGTTATTGACGATGGAAAGAAACATATCACTGATGCCGTATGATCTATTTGCCTTCTGTATCTATGTATGTGATATCCTGACTCGTTCTCTGCTGCTATAGGGTGGCTCTATCACTTATGACTACCGTAAGTCTTTCTACCACTCCCAACATGGCCTTGAAACCCATGAAGCTAATTATTGACTTTCATTAGCATCTCTAAGGTAACTCTCCCGTCGTTCATGATCCGATGATATTGAAGTTGCAGTCCTGACACTTGATGTTCTCCATTTAGGGGATTCGCTGCGGATGCTCCGGACAATGCTGTCACCAGTCTCAGCGACCAGTCTCCAAACCACAAGCCATTTGTTGAGGACGACCAGGTCGTCACAGTCAACTAATTCAATAAACGACTGGGTCCTGGTAATGGAACAAAGGGATGTTTCTCCCGCATGAGGACGTCGCCGTTACGGTCAGCGGTTTCCCCGTCAAATTCCTTCATACCTGAGGCTCCATGTCTTCCAAAGGCTCAACGGTGAATATTCCGAATATGCCTGGGTTTTGTCGCAAGTTCCAGTTCTTTTGGTCGTATTTATTGGGTAATATGTATTGGGAAATGTTCTTTGATTTACTGAGGAGCCGTGGGTGGCGTCTGGAGATTTCCTCTTGTTCTCTTTAATGTTTCAACCGGATGTCTGTCATTGATAAGTTCCTGATAATGGTAAAGGAATCAACCATGGAACAAAGTAAAAGAGCATTGTCTAGCTCTTTGTTTCTTCCCTCGATAGTACATGTAGTAGGCTATTCAACCGTAGGAGAAGTTAAACCCCTCGGGAGGAAAGGAAATGCGCGCGGTTTAGCGTGGATCTGCCTTGAAACTCCGCCGTCGCGAAAAGGAACATTACATTAATCAGTTATATATGGGGCTTTGCCCGAGCGATTAAATTGAATCGATCCCGTGCTTTTCTCTCGTTTTTTAATCCGAAGGGAATGCGCCCCTGGAAGACATTCAATCCAATCCGCAACGCCCAATTGTGAACCCACCAGTATCGTGTGCTAACATTCCCCGGATTCGCACCACATTCCTCTCGTCCAGTATGGCTTCAGAACTTACAGTCACCAAAGTCCTACTGGAATGGATCAACAGCTTTTCGCTTGGGAAGACACTGCGGGCCACCGATGAGCTGACCGACGGAATCATAGTGTGGGAAGTCTTACAGGACATCGACCCCCAATACTTCCTCGACGAGATACCGGAGCGAAACCCACCCGACCATTGGGTGGCCAAATGGCAGAACCTGAAGCATATCCATAAGCTGTTAATCAGTTATATTCGACACCAGAACGATGACAATTTGCCCTCGGGTCTCGATCCCTCCCCCGACCTCGAAGCCGTCGCAGAGAAGAGCTCCGTCCGCGAAACCAACAAGCTCCTGAAACTCCTCCTAATCGCGGCCATCAGTTCCCCGAATGCCGGAACGTATGTGCAAACGCTTCAGAACCTGACTACCCCCACGCAGGAGGGTCTCAAGGATATCATCGAGGAGGCACATAATGGTCAGCATGAGCCCATTGACATCGCGGACGAAGATAAGGAGGACACATCGAAACGAGTCAAATCGGTCGACCTGGAACTGCAGTTTGAGGAACGAGTGGGAAAGGTGATCGCAGAAAACGACCGCTTGACACACGAGAAGAAAGAGCTGGAGAAGGCGCTGGAGGACTTGCATAACCGCCTGGCGCGCTTACAGGAAAACAACGATACCCTGCAGAACCGCCTGGCCTCGACAGAGGATCGCCTGGTGACGCTAAAGTCCGGGAAAGGTGATCTCGGTTTCAACGCAAAGGCATTAGAGTCCAAGTCTCGTCAGCAGGAAGACCTCATCGCGACGCAGGAGGCGAAACTCGCGGCGACTCAGGATGAATTGGATAGCTTACGGATGACCGTGGAGTCTCTGCGCGTGAAGAATCAACGGTTTCAGAAGCTGCAGGATGACTACGACGAACTCAAGACGGAAAAGGATCAATTGGCTCGCAAGGCCAACGCTGCGGAAAAGTATCGCCAGAAATTGCAAGCCAGTCAAGATTTCGAAAAGGAGAACCAGGCGCTTAAGAATCAGATCAAGGACCTTCAACAGCAGCTCAAGGATGCGGATTCCCAGCACAGATGGAGTTCTGAGCGCGAAGTAGAACTCGAGGAATACAGGAAGGTTCTGCCTCGCATTGAACAGGAATGTACCGAAATCCAAGACCTCAAAAAAAGCTTGGAATTCAACAACCACGCACTTGGAGAGCGTCTGAAGAGTGCAGATGAACAGCGCGAAAGGGACGATGAGATCATCAGCGAGCTGCGTGAGAGGATCCGGGAATTGGAAGGCTCTCCTGGAAGCCCATCTCTTACCCCTGGTGCCGAGACACCGAAGTTTCAAGGGAATTTGCAGAAGGACTTTGAAGAGATTGGTGCCAAAGAGTCTCAACTGTATGAATCTTGTCGCATCTCGAGCTTGGACTGGACTGACCCTTGGCAGGAAAACGGAGAACGAAGACTTGAAAAAGGAAGTCAAATCTTTGAAGGGACCCTCGGCGCATGTAAGTCAGGCTACATGAAATTATGCCAGGTCACAGCACTAACCTTTACGCCCTTCAGACTGTTTCCCAGTTTGAGAAGTTCTCTGAAGCTTTTACCCAGACTCTACAGCTTGCGCAAACCAATTCTACCCAGAAGTATGGCTCCGTTTCCCATGGCTTCCCCTTTCGCTGCTAACATGGGCCATAGCGAGGAATACTGGAAATTGTTCGATAACTACGCAACAGCACTCAAGAAGTTTGCGGAGATTCAAGTCGCCCTAGGTACAACCAAGAAAGCACTCGACAACGCATATGCAGAGGGTACGTCATCCCTTGAAAATACAAATCGGCTTTTTTGTTCTTTTGCTCACACAACTACAGCGGAACTAGCGAACAAGGAAAACGTCGACATGTTCCACGAAGTCAAGGAGCAGAACTCTGCCGAATTGGCCCAGGTGCGGGCCGAATGGGATGAGCGCACACAGAGAATACACCATCTCGAGGCCGAGCTTGAGGCCAGTCAGGTGTTGTCCAGGGAGGCGTGCGCCGAGCGGGACGAATTGCGCGGAATGCTCGACAACAAGCAGTCTGAAATGCGCGCAGAAGACCAGGAGACAATCAATGAAATGAAGAAGCTTCTTTCCGAATTTACTGCGCAAGACGGCAGCGACAGTGAAGCTTCTGGCGTTGAGCTCGCAAGACAGATTGCCGAATTGATCGATAAGAACATCGAACGACTTGCCCAGCGTGCAGAGGTCAGTGGCAAGCGAAAATTTCTCGCCCTTAACTGATTGGCCGTCCTTGAACCTTGCTGACATCTCGTGACCATCCAGTACATTGAGCAACAGAACGAGCACATCAAGTCCCTTCGGGAACGTATTCGAAACTTCGAGGAACACACGGATGATGGCATCAGCAAAGAACGCGAGGTAAGCCGGCGATATTGTAGGCAGTTGGGCACATTTACTAACGTCTTTACGCAGCTTGAACTCCAAAGGATCATTGATGGCCAAACTCGGGAGTTGGCACTTATGAGCTCTGCTTGGTTTGACCTTCAGTGCCGTATTCAGACCAACAATGTCACGCTTTCGAGATACCGGCATGGGTCCAGTATGGCCGAGGCCCAGAAGGGCTGGCTACCAAGGCAGAGAAGTGGTGTTGCTACTAGCCGGTGATTTCTTTTCTTCTCTTTCCCCCCATTTCCTTTAAATCTATACTTGTCTGCGATTTATTGCAATATACACCTTTTTGTTGTTTTTGCTTTGCTTTGGTCATAAGTGCTTTACTATGTTGGAAAGATCTATGGAGATATGTATGAATTTGTGTATACCTTTTGCTATAACCCCGAGATCTATATCTATATAGAATATGAAGGCCGAGAATTTTTATTTCGTATCTCATATACGCCGGAGCACCTCGTAATATACATTTTTAAGCAGGACACGTATGTACTGTTGAATTATCCCAGAAATTCCTCGAGATTTAGAAACCCAAAAATGATTTTCCGAACTTAGGCCCATTGCCTGGGATTCTTCAGAACCTCCAGCACCTCTTTCTCACTCGTCTTGTCTTCTGCTTGCAGCTCATCTTCTTCACTCGTATTCATAGTCTCCGTTCTGGTGCCGGATACCGGATCCATGTACGCCCAGCTCGCAGTGCGAGGAAGACTCATCAGGATACTCTCAATGCGGGCATTGGGAGTCCGTAGTCCGAAGCTTGTACCACGGTCGTAGACCAGATTAAACTCCACATAGCGTCCTCGCCGGAGCTGTTGCCAATCTTTCTGGGCAGGCGTGTAGAGCATGTCCTTTCGTTGCTCGATGATGGGGAGGTAGGAGGGAAGGAAGGAGGAGAGACAGTCGGAGACGAAGGAGAAGAGGGTTTCCTGGGGGTTCTGCGAAGAAGTCGATGAGGTTTGGAGGAAATTGGCGTCGAGATCGTCGAAGAAGATTCCGCCTACACCGCGGGACTCCTTGCGGTGGGGGATGTAGAAGTACTTGTCGCACCAGGCCTTGAACCTGGGGTAGTACGTCGCATCATGTCGATCGCAGGCGTCTTTGATAGTCTGGTGGAAGTGTTTGACGTCTTCGGGGAAGAGGTAGGACGGTGTCAAGTCTGTGCCACCTCCGAACCACCAGTTCTTGTCTCCATTGAGAGGGTCCTTGGGGTCAGACGTCTCGAAGTATCGGTAGTTCAGATGGACCGTTGGGGCCATAGGGTTGTGAGGGTGCAGAACCAGGGAGAGACCGGCAGCGAAGAAACTTAGAGAATCGATGTCTGCTCCAACGAATGACTTGTGGTCGGCCCGCATCTTTTCAATAGCCGGTCGTGGCAATTCACCGTAGACAATCGACACATTGACGCCGGCTTTTTCGAAGACGTTTCCATCCTGAAGCACGCAAGAGATGCCACCTCCACCATTGGGCCGTGACCAGGTATCAGCCCTAAAATCCTTGCCGTCAATCTGACTGAGTTCCTGAACAATCTTCTCTTGGTGCTCTTTGATCAATTTCTCCATTCGCAGGCGCATCGGTGATGTTTCAGTGATCGTGGATTGCTTCTTTAGGGCCTCGTCCAATTCCACTATCGACGGAGAGTCCAATTCGGTTACTTCGCCCGTCATCTGGATCACCACAGTTAGACACAGCTATACGCATGCCAATACAATGCCATTCTTACCATGGAGTATATCAGGGCACCGATAAACGGTACACCAACTGCCAATCGCAGGTACGGTCTCCAGACGGGAAGAGGTTGCGGACCACGGGGTTTTTGTTCGGATGAATATCTGCGAAAGGGACCTCGAAATTTGCGAATTGGGAGGCGATTGCTTCGACATGAGACCTGCTGAAGTGACCTCCGAAGAGGCATATAGGGCCGGGAGAGAGCCATGGTCGAGGGAATTGAGAATAGTGCCAATATGGCCTGATCGAACCGCAGATATCGATGGTCTGACGAGAGGATAGATGCTGGTATCCACAGCCTAAGTCAAGCAATATAAGAAGCAATTGAATAGATCCGATTCGTCCCTGTGGATAAGACCACCAGCAGTGACGATATCCGGACAATTGAGGAATGAAGCCAATTTGGAGAAGAGTTTGTATTGTTTGGAATGTTTACATTGTTTATTGATACATATCGTCGAGGCTGATAAGTGTTTGCATTGTTTGTCTACCTCAGTAGAGAGATTCAAGCGTGAGTCACAGCATGATAATGCTGTAGAGTGTCTACAGAGTAAAGTGAATATGGTAATCTATTAGTTCACAGTTTTATATTAACTAGATGTGGCTTGGAACAAGGGCAAGGTTCAGGGACAGTGGTGGAGGCGAAACTATCCCGTACGTAGTTCCGTACTATGTATTATTAGTGTTCCGATAGATCGATATGGAATCCTATCTTGAAGTCGTTTGACCCCGCAAGAACCACCACCGACAAATGATCGAGTCATTTCTAGGCGATTTCTACTACGTATAGTTACTACTAGTTATTGAGAACAAGTTGATTAATCCTGCTCACGTGGAAACTCTCACCGCCCCGTGACCCCTACGTACCAGTACCATACGATACGATACCGTGACCATACCATTACGCGGGGCTTGCCGCCTTCGCTGGTGGTGGTGGTCATCTGGCCGCCTGTGCATCATCATCATCATAGCCATCATCATCCACTCTCCCTCTTCTCCCTCTTCACTTCTTCCCACGTCGTTTCTGCCATCTCTCCTCTCTTTCCCATCCATCCATCGCTCCTATATTGTCTGTCATCAAGGCTTTTTTTTCTTAACTATCGTTTGACTTTGCTCAACTTTCATTTTACTACTCTACTTATCTTCTTATCCGCTTATCTATCTATCATCATGAGGTCCAAGTTCAAGGACGAGCACCCCTTCGAGAAGCGCAAGGCCGAAGCTGAGCGTATTCGCCAGAAATATGCTGATCGCATTCCGGTACGTGTATATTCTTTTTCTTTGAGAATTGGTTTTGAGGATCTGTCCCTTCTCCTGTCCTACCTTGGTACCCTCTCACCGCTCATTTTAACACGACTGACTGGTCTTCTACATAACAGGTCATCTGCGAGAAGGTCGAGAAATCGGACATCGCCACCATCGACAAGAAGAAGTACCTGGTACCTGCAGACCTCACCGTCGGCCAGTTCGTCTACGTTATCCGCAAACGCATCAAGCTCTCGCCTGAGAAGGCCATTTTCATCTTCGTCGACGAGGTCCTGCCCCCAACAGCCGCGCTCATGAGTAGCATCTATGAAGAGCACAAGGATGAGGATGGCTTCCTCTACATCACGTACGTTCTGTTCCCCTTCTTCCCGTTTTTAGACTCTTTTCTGGGATCTGTTACTGATTACAATAATGTTACAGATACTCCGGCGAAAACACGTTTGGTGACTGCTAAACTGCAGTCGATCATTTCGCTCAAACCTGGTCCCTTCTCCTTTGTGCCGCGATGCAGAGGTCTATCACGGGGTGTATTTGATCCGTCGTTTTTTGGGAAGTCGATTCTGGGACGGGAGACAATGGTCGCACCGTAGATGGAGCCGAGGGGCAGGCTTCAACTTGCTTTTCATGCGCGCAGGCGTTATATCAGGTGTTTCGTAATGACTTTGCTTGGCGAACGTTAATTGGATTGGTGTCCTTGAATTGAAATGGATTTCTCAGCCGTCAGCCTATCTACAAACGGTATACTTTTCTCTTTTGCGGTCGATACAGATATTCTAGCAAGGATCGACCAATATAAGCAGTTATTCCTATATGGGTGAACGCAATATTGGCATGTAGTAGCTCTGCGGACCTCCTGTGCTATGCTGGGACACACCGGATCTCACCAGTCGTTGCACCCAAGTAGTTGTAGGAGAGCTACTCTGTACACTCGGGCATATTCGTAGTGTGTGCATGATGTCCGACCTACATGTAGAATATGTACTACATCGCCGAAATGATCTTAAAAGCGCCCGGTCTACTGAAGGGGAGCACAGTATTGAAAGAAACCAGGGAAACTTGCTCATGCTGATTCTATGCCATCGTAGTTCGACACACATCTGGCAGAGAAAGTTGAGGCTATACTATAAAGTACCTCACCATGGAATATTGTCAAACAGCTAGCAGAATGCGTGGGATGGGCCATCTATCAGGGCAGTCTTGTAGACGCTTAACCCGAATAGGAACGCCATAGCGTCCGGTGATTCGGCATCATCCGAACAAGCTTGAATACAGCAGTGTATGTGACTCAAGTTTGCTCGAATATCAAGCATAAGACAAGGCAAAGCAAGGCAGCCTTGGAGGTGTCTAACGAATCTGGAGACCTTAAGAGATATATTCCCTTTATCCGCAACTAGAATGCTCTTGTCGAGTCCGGTATCACGTGATATTTCGCCTAAATCGGGATTAGCGCTGTATGCTCCGATAGCAGGCCGAGCAATTCTTCATCTTTTCTTCTTTCGTGGGATTGTTTCGCTGCTGTTTGTTGGATTGTGTTTATTAATATCTCTAGACCTACCTTTCTTCTCCTTCTCTTCTTCTCTCCCAATCTTCTTTCTCGCCCGTTTCCTTCTCCCTCTACGTTCCTTCTTCCGTCTTTTCGCATACAATTTTTTTTTTTTTTTTTTTTTTTCGGATAAGAGATAAAATACATCCAAAATGTCTCCCGCACCTGCTTCTAATGATGTGAAGAAGGAGTCCGCGATGGCCCGTCTTCTGGGTTCCGGTATGTGCGCTTGACTTGCGATTGTGAAATCGGCTATTAACGTGTGTTGCCAGGAACCGCCGGTATCACCGAATTGATGGTTTTCCATCCTGTACGAAATTCACCCTCAGCGTTCTACTGTTGATCTCCGATTCTAACGGTCTGCAAAGGTCGATACTACCGCGAAGCGATTGATGAGCAACCAGTCTAGGGTGAGTTTTTGCGATTATCTTTGTGGCCGGTTTACTGTGAACATTTCTAACTTGAAGCCTGGTTCCCACTTAGATCACCTCCTCAAGCGCCTTCAACCAAGTCGTCTTTAGAGAATATGCCACTGCTCCTCTTGGTCGCAAGTTCACCTCCCTCTTCCCGGGATTGGGGTATGCCGCCGGTTACAAGGTGCGTGGGGAATCCAAACCCTCAGCCTCGCTCCAATTGGCTAATCTTATCCCCTCATAGGTTATGCAAAGAATCTACAAGTATGGTGGCCAGCCATTCGCGCGAGACTACCTGGCTAAGCACCACGGCTCCGAATTTGACAATGCTTTTGGAAAGGGAACTGGCAAGGCGATTATGCATGCTACTGCTGGAAGGTAGGAACCTCAGGACGGTCGTTTTGTCGCAAGCCGCTGCTGACACGGAGGGGAAATTAGTTTGATTGGTATCGGAGAGATTGTCCTTCTCCCTCTCGATGTTCTGAAGATTAAGCGCCAGACAAACCCCGAAGCCTTCCGTGGCCGTGGTCTGTTCAAGATCATCTCTGATGAGGGTATGGGACTTTACCGTGGCGCTGGCTGGACTGCTGCCCGTAACGCTCCTGGGTCTTTCGCGGTATGCTCCTTTTCGTCCCTGGACTACCAAAGTTGAAACGCGACTAACGATGATTTAGCTCTTCGGTGGTTCTGCTTTCGCCAAGGAGTACATCTACGATCTGACGGACTACAACTCGGCCTCGTGGTCCCAGAACTTCGTTGCCTCGGTTTGCGGTGCCAGTGCTTCGCTGGTTGTATCTGCTCCTCTGGACGTCATCAAGACCCGTATCCAGAACCGCAACTTCGAGAACCCCGAGTCCGGCTTCCGTATTGTGTCCAACATGATGAAGAATGAGGGATTCACTAGTTTCTTCAAGGGATTGACTCCCAAGCTGCTGATGACCGGCCCCAAGCTTGTATTCAGCTTCTGGCTGGCTCAGACTCTGATCCCAGCCTTTGGCCAGGTTGTATAAATATGAGAACGATGCATGTGTGATAATAGCTTGTTATTTTGTACTTTTCTTTTCATTTTCTTCAAAAGGGGCGTTTTTCATTCAGTTATGACGGCCTTTTGGTGTGACGATTTTTGACGTCCTGACGGCCCATTTTGTTTTGATAAACTAGCTTTGGCTTCGTGTTTGGGATATAGGACTCGGCTTAAAAAAGAATCAACTCCTCTTAATTATGTACTCCGAGGTTTGTAGACATAAGCGAGCTTAGGCAAAGTAACGCCGCGATGCACGTGACGCTTCCTGATCCTAGCTCCGAACCGAGCTCCGCGATCACCCAGGAGCACGAGCAGCTTTCACTCTACTCCGCGCTGGCAGCCAGAAAGACAAGATGGCAATCTACCTAATCTCCAAGTACGTATATAAACACCCAATCACCTACCACAGACAGGATTATTCTAACAAGATACCTCTTAAAACAGAGCCGCAGACCCCATCTTCGCCGTCGCAATTGGCACCTCCGCTGCCCTAATCCGCACCCGCCGCGATCAGCAAGAGAAAGAACCCGAGCGCGCTAAGGAGATTGGATATGGCGAGGTCATGTCGTTGGGAGCAAATCGGGTACGGCGCTGGTGGGCTGGGGATTTCGCGGGGCTGTAAATAAGTGTCTTAGGGAGTACGGAGTAATCGATGTGCGGTTCAGTCGTTTTTGAGGTGTTTGCCGATGAAGGGGAGGGAGAGATACGGGACTTGGGTTAGGGAATAATCTTTGGCTTTGTTGTCACCGACTATTGACATACTCTTCTAGATTGACAGTGACATACTCATTGAAAGACCGAGTCACTCGCAGACAGACCCAAATCGCATCAATCCGCATGTGCTCTAATTTTCACGTGTTTTGGGAAAACATGGCCCCTGTTGGCTGACGCGCGGTTTACTCAAAATAAAGGATAGGAAAAGCTCAATAAGTGCTTTACCCTTCTGGGAGAAGTCAAAGCATTTACTCATGCGCACATGGAGCTTCCCAGATATGCCAAAGTGGGCCTGGAGGATGCGTCGTTGGGGACCAAAGAGCGATATCATAAGCACCTAGTTACTAGGTTAGCATACTGAAAATTCCAACTGATTCGATTGGTCTTACCGGGAATAAGGATGTATGCGAGAATGCGTACGAGGTTGTATCGTCGACTCCGGGTTCTTCTTCCTTTTGCCAAAGGCGATTGTGGAGGACTTGTCCCTGTGCAGCCAGCTCTCCCAGGAGGAGTTTCCCATCTTCATCGTGCAGAGTGATCACCGCTGGGGTCATTATCTGTAAAGTATTCAAATTCTTCATAGTTGTCCAAGTTCGGTTGAACTCTTCTACTATGCCGTAGAATAAGTCGAAATCATGTTCTGATTCAAAAGGATCATCGGGCCCAAATATATCATGGTCAATTGGAGTTATCTTTTTATTATTTTGTTTTGTTTTTACACCCACATTATAGAATCACACTTTGCAATATCTGCCAACACATCGCAATCATCATCAAGACTATTCCTTGGACCATGGAAGATCTCATCATCCAAGTACTTATAAACCATGAGGGCTCGCATGTAAGCATTGTCGCCAAGGTACCCACAAGGAGCCCGAGGTTCTGCTTGAGGATCAGTCTTTAAACTCCAGCAAACGATGATTATCAATATCAGATTGATTGAGTGTGTAGGTCCGTAGTTCTTGACGCGACATAGGCTCAAAGAAAAACTCATCGGATTCCAGGAAAACCGTATCATCCGGTTCGAATGCCTGGAGGTCTACTTTGAATTTCTGTTCTAAGTCTGCTTTCGGGATCGGACTGCTGTGATATGTAGACAGGTCGTTGCATAATTGGCGCGCACATTTGGCGTACAAATGTTGACTCTTTGCATGGCATCCTCAATTTCTGACAGCGCTGTTTGACACCATTGCTTCTCTGTTTCTCTTCTCTTCTCTCTCTTCTCTCTCCTCTCTCCTCTCGTCTCTTCTCACTAACTGCACAATGCCAAACGCTAACGATGCTTACAACCTGTGACTATTTGAGATTCCCAGGGCCAAGCAATTGAAAGTGCTTGTACTCAGCCCACATACAAGAAAAACGAGGCTGATGCGAATCCTACCATCTTGATGTCTCTGGTGGCAATTATTTTGAAGCATCCAGATGTCAATCTAGAATGGATGGCCGAGCAGCTGAACTTTGGAACTACAAGATTCGACAATGGATCATACATGGCGCTGGTGGACGGCTACCTGAAGTGCAAATGTTGTAGCACAGGCCATGTCTACGGGAATATTTACATGTAAAAGACAGCAGAGATGGTGTCTTACATCAAGCTGAAGAAGCTTTTTGAACCTCGTTCTGCAACTGAGTGTTACCCGAATCCAGTTCGACGAAATTGAAGCATACCCTGCTCAGAATCTCATGAAGGCCAAATCCGGGGCGTCACTACATAATACAACCAAAGCAGCCCTGAGGCGAAGCTCTTTTTCCCATCTTCCTGCCAAGACTGTAATGGTATCCATAGACTGTCGCATAACTGGCGCGTAGACTGAGTATATAAAGCTCGACATTTTGCATGGCATCTCTGAAGCTCAGACTGCGCTTGTGTATTCATATGGACGTCATATGGACGAGAAAAGAAGAATAACAATCTAGCATCCTTTCTTGAACGTAGATTAAGCTTGGCGACTCAGTCTGTGCCTGTCTATCTTTCACCATCAACTTCCCGATTGGTTTTTAAGAACTAGTAAAGCTCCGACATCACTCACGAGGTCGTTGTCATAAAAGGCTGATCGCTCCTCTCGTTAGTGTTGTTCGACTTTGGGTATTACTCTTTTGCTCGGGAGCTCTCTCGGAACGTTTTTTCAGTTATTTATCTTTGTTTCATTGTAGATTCACGAAGGCGAGATTAAAAAAGATGCCGGGCACACAAGAGCCTTACGCCCAGGCGCAAGTAGATACAGTAAGGCCTACGAAGTCAAGTCTACGAAGCAGGAACAAATTCTTGAAACATATCATTTCCATTAATTAAGAATACAACGTATTCCTATGGAACTTTTCTCTCCTCAAGCAAATCTGCCATTCGAAGTAGATCATAATGCATCTCGAAACAACACAAATCTATGCAGCCAGAATAAAAAACAGAAACCCATAATTTCGTTAAACCACCCGTAACGAGCAAAGAAAAAGAATTTAATAGAAAAAGTATGCCTTGAATCACAGCAAAAGGCACTTAGAACGAAAAGAAAAAAGGGATATCATCAGAAAGAACAAAGAGTCAAGACGTTTAGTCAAGCTCCTCGGGCTTCTCCTCGACCTCATCGGCGCTACGGGCACCGCCAGGGGCAGCACCGGGAGCGCCACCGGGAGCAGCACCACCGTAGGCAGCGGAGATGATGGGGTTGGCAACAGCCTCGAGCTCCTTCTGCTGAGACTCGTACTCCTCCTTGTCAGCGGTCTGGTTGTTGTCGAGCCAGCTGATGGTCTCCTCAACCTTGGTCTGGACCTTGGTCTTGTCCTCATCGGAGATGGTGAGCTTGCCCTCGTTGATGGTGTTCTTGAGGGAGTAGGCGTACGACTCGACACCGTTCTTGGCGTGGATACGCGAAGCCTCAGCCTCGTCCTCAGCCTTGAACTTCTCGGCCTCAGCAAGCATGCGCTCGATCTCCTCCTTCGAGAGACGGCCCTTGTCATTGGTGATGGTGATCTTGTTGGCCTTACCAGTACCCTTCTCGGTGGCACCGACGTTCATGATACCGTTGGCGTCAACGTCGAAGGTGACCTCAATCTGGGGAACACCACGGGGAGCCGGGGGGATACCAGTGAGCTCGAACTTGCCGAGCAGGTTGTTGTCCTTGGTACGAGCACGCTCACCCTCGTAGACCTGGATCAGGACACCGGGCTGGTTGTCCGAGTAGGTGGAGAAGGTCTCAGACTTCTTGGTGGGGATGGTGGTGTTACGCTTGATAAGAGCAGTCATGACACCACCAGCGGTCTCAATACCGAGCGACAGAGGCGCAACGTCGAGCAGCAGGATCTCGTTGGTGGACTTGGAGGAAGTGTCACCGGACAAGATGGCGGCCTGGACAGCAGCACCGTAGGCGACAGCCTCGTCGGGGTTGATGGACTTGTTGGGGTCCTTGTTGAAGAAGTCGGAGACAAGACGCTGGATCTTGGGGATACGGGTGGAACCACCGACAAGGACGATCTCGTGGACGGAGGACTTGTCGATCTTGGCGTCACGGAGGACACGCTCAACGGGCTCCATGGTGCCACGGAAGAGGTCCTGGCAGAGTTCCTCGAAACGGGCACGGGTGATCGAGGTGTAGAAGTCAACACCCTCGAAGAGCGAGTCGATCTCGATGGAGGTCTGGGCAGCAGAGGAGAGAGTACGCTTCGCACGCTCGCAAGCAGTGCGGAGACGACGAAGAGCACGAGCGTTGGTGGTGAGGTCCTTCTTGTGCTTGCGCTTGAACTCGTTGACGAAGTGGTTGACCAGACGGTTGTCAAAGTCCTCACCACCCAAGTGAGTGTCACCAGCAGTGGCCTTGACCTCGAAGATACCCTCCTCAATGGTCAGGAGAGAAACATCGAAGGTACCACCACCCAAGTCGAAGATGAGAACGTTACGCTCGCCCTCACCCTTCTTGTCAAGACCGTAGGCGATGGCGGCAGCGGTGGGCTCGTTGATGATACGGAGGACGTTCAGACCGGCAATGAGACCGGAGTCCTTGGTAGCCTGACGCTGAGAGTCGCTGAAGTAGGCGGGGACAGTGACGACGGCGTTGTTGACGGTGCCACCGAGGTAGGCCTCGGCGGTCTCACGCATCTTGACGAGGATCATGGAGGAGATTTCCTCGGGAGTGAACTGCTTGTTCTCACCCTTGAACTCAACCTCGACGACGGGCTTGCCAGCCTGGTCGACAATCTTGAAGGGGTAGTGCTTCATGTCGGCCTGGACCTCAGCATCGTTGTAACGACGACCGATGAGACGCTTGGCATCGAAGACGGTGTTGTGAGGGTTCATGGCCACCTGGTTCTTGGCGGCATCACCGATGAGACGCTCGGTGTCGGTGAAGGCAACGAACGAGGGAGTGGTACGGTTACCCTGGTCGTTGGCGATAATTTCGATACGGTCATCACGGAACACACCCACACAGGAGTAGGTGGTACCCAAGTCAATACCGACGGCGGGAGCCATTTTTGTGTATGGAGGGGTCGTGAACAACGTGAGAAATAGAAACAGTCGTTAAAAGAGGATAGTAGTACACGAGAAAAAGAAAAAAGAGAGGAGAGAGGAGAGATTAGGATAAGTGCAAGGAGGAGGATATCACACAAGAGAGAGAGGGTTGAGTATGAAGAAAGAAGAGGAAAGAGTTTGTGTGCGAGCAGCCTAACGTAGATATAGTCGGCGGTGAAGCGAGACAGAACGTTCTAGCATTCCACGGGCATCGATCGGGTTCTATGGATTTCCACAGCTTAATTGACAACCTGATTGGAAGCGGGATTTCTACTGTGTTCAGGGTGGTTCTTAAGTGGTTCGTTGTTATTCTTGATCATTCTGAACCGAATTAATCCGGTTTAATTTGGGTCTATTTTTGCTGTTTTCTCTTACTGTTCTGGCAGAATGTGCGATGTGGCGGGGTGGAAGACTATGACGTCAATGAGGCTCGTGAAAATTCGACGAGATTCAGCGAATGTACTGGTCTGTACCAGTGGATACGCAATGCTGGTACTTGGTAGGGTATTACTCATTTGCTACGACTTTGCCAGCACTGGTAATGGATGCAGTGGACACACGCCGTCATAGTGATGCGTTGGCGGGGTTACGATTTGACTGTGGGCATTTTACTGTGCAGGTACAGAGTATTCTGGCCTTACGACACTGTAAGTACTCCGTACTATGTACTATGTAGTACTATATACAGAGTATATAGATTCCATAACACAGCATAATATTGAAATCAATTGTATCTAAATCTATCTTATGCTCCGTATCAGTTATCCTTGTGTACCCTTGGGACTCCAGTTGTGGTTGGTGGTTGCTATGGCAGAATGAAAACTCTTCTCTTAGTCAGCAGACAAGCAACCATCGACTGATTCTAGAATCAATCGGGCAGATGTCTATACACGTGACATATGTGACACACGTGACTCTTTCGAGCACTCGACCATCTCGAACAGGCACGACAGATTTATGGCAATCATCTCAGCGGTTACTTCCGTCTACTAGTATTTCAATTGCTCTCCTCATTGGCTCACTCACCCACTGTTTTGAGACTGCATGGTTTCGCTGCTAACTACAGACAATATGCCGAAGACGCCAGTATGCCGCCGGTGCACGCCATCGGCCAGACACAAAAGGCACACCATCCTAGTTGAGATCCTTGTCTACTAGAATTTTCTCATGCCATAAGAAGTGCTGTTGTCGCTACGATAATGACGGCCCTCATGCTCGCTGAGTCCTTGCATATCCGCTTGTTGCAGAAGCAACTCGAACCCATCCCCGGGAACAGTTGATTGCCCAGGCGGGTTGAGCTAGGGATTCGTTTTATTCTGTTGATACCAGCCATATGAACTCACGATGGCATTCCGGAAACTGTCTGGAGCTCTCCACCGTGCAAAACTGGCTTCTCAGCCCGTCGCGAAGGACCCTCTGGTTCCTGCAGATGACAAGAAACCTATCGCATCCCCGAAGATTATCAGCGATGAGGAAAACATCCACCTTGATACAGAAACAGCTGCCATCGAACAGGAGAGCGAGGATGACCCCGAAGTTGCGGCATTGCCGCGAGAAGTCCGTCAGTTGGTCAGTCTCACAGACAATCCCGAGTTGCCAACCATCACCTTTCGCTACTTCGTTTTGTCCGTCATCTTTGTCGTACCTGGGGCTTTTCTATCGCAGATGAGCTACTTCCGTACCACCCAGGCTCCTTACTCCGTATTCTTCGTCCAGATAGCGTCGCACTATGCTGGTCATTTCCTTGCCAGGGTCCTTCCCACCCGCCGGGTCCGGGTTCCCGGCACGCGCTGGTCCTTCAGCATGAACCCAGCGCCCTGGAGTATCAAGGAGCATGTATTGATCACAGTTACCGCTGCCTCAGGTGCTACCTACAATCTAGGGTACACCCCCATCGTCCTGGCGGAGCTTTACTACGGGCAGAAGATCAATCCAGCGGTGGCCATCTTTTTCATGTTTGCCATCGTTTGGATCGGATATGCTTTTGCTGCCCTGGCACGGCAGTTGCTGCTCTACGATCCTGGGTATATCTGGCCGCAGGCGCTCATGCAGACGACATTGTTCGAGACCTTTCGCAGAACGGACAATTCGTCCCCATTGGCCCGTCGACAAATGAAGATCTTTTTCTTCTCATTATTGGGCATGATTCTTTGGCAGTTCCTGCCCGAATATGTCTTCCCTTTCACCTCATCGCTTGCCTTCCTCTGCTGGGTTGCACCCCGAAACAAAGTCGCCAATTTTATCGGATCGGGTCTTGGGGGCATGGGTTTTCTCAACCTGTCGCTGGATTGGTCAAATATCAATTGGAATGGCTCCTCGATTATGCTCACTCCCTTTTGGACGCAGGTCATTCTGTTTTTGGCCTTTGCCTTCAATTGCTGGGTCCTGCTGCCAGCTGCAAAATGGGGGAACCTGGGATCATACCACCACGGCCTCATGTCCAATAGTCTCCTCACGGCCAACGGTACCACATATCCTGTACTCGAGGTATTGACTCCTGATTTCCAACTGAACCAAACCGTGTACCAGGAGTATGGGCCAATGTATATGGGACTTCAAAAAGTCTGGTCAACCTTTTTCGATTACGCCAAATTGCCTGCCGCTGTTACTTGGATTCTGACGTTTGGTTTTACCCAAATAGCTGGCAACTTGAAACGCGTTCTTGCATCGCACCAGAAGCAATCGCGGACCAGGGGTCAAGGCATCAACTATCAATATCATGACCGCCTCAATGTTCTCCAACGTCAATATCGGGAGGTGCCCTTGTGGTGGTATTTCATTCTGTTCCTTGTGGGGTTCGTGATCCTTGCCGCGGCCATCGGTTGCGGACAACTCTTTATCCCAATCTGGACGCTGTTTGTGGCCCTGAGCAGTGCAGCCGTCTTTGTCATCCCATTCGGCTGGCTCTACGCAATCTCCAACTACCAGATTTCTACCGGGTCTTTCAACGAATTGATGTATGGATACATGGTCCACACCCCAGCCGGCCAAGCGCATCATCACCCGTGCGGGCCCTCCACGTACGGTGCCATTGCTGGAGACGCATGGTACCGGGCCCAGTATATGTTGCAGGATCAGAAGATCGGTCACTACATGCATATCCCACCCCGAACGGTGTTCTTCTCGCAAATTTTCGGAACTATTCTCGGCGTCCCTGTCAACTACGGCGTGATTCGATGGATTATTAACACAAAGGGCGATTACCTGACCGGTGCGAAGAAGGACCCACTGAACCAATGGACTGGACAGAGCATACAGTCTTCCAACACACTTGGTGTGCAATACGCCGTTGTTGGCCCGAAGGCGTTGTTTGCAGAGCGAGAGATGTCCGTCCTACCGTGGTCGTTTCTGGTGGGCGCGGGGGTTCCTCCGTTGTTGTATCTCTTGCATTGCAGCTTTCCACGCCTACGGGTTGATCTGTGGAATGTCAGTATTTTCTTCTCCGGTCTGGCCCTCTTTTATGGTAATGTGAGTACCGGATACACATCTGCCATCATTGGCAGATATGTGGTCATGTACCATTTCTACAGACGCCACTTTGATGTTTGGAGGCGGTACAGTTACATGGTGGCGGCTGCTTTTGATGCAGGGTTCAACTTCAACTTACTCTTGATCTTCCTGTTCTTTGGCGCAGGGAAGCAAGTCTCGATGCCCCAATGGTGGGGGAACAATGGTGATTCCGTGGAAAGGTGTTTTGCCTTGAGTGATGATTAAGATGAGCAGCGTGGTTACCGTGGAGACGCGACTATAAACCAATTGCTTTTCTTTGTCAATAACAATATGATGTGTCATTTTCATTCTGCATATGCTGTATATTCTGAATTTACTTCGGAGTACTCCGTGGTTTAAAAGATCATCTAGAGCACGGTTAGGATAAGAAGTACCGTGACATGTCTTGAGCATTGAATGAACGTATCTGTAGCTTTATCGACACTTGACTCGGAAAATATACAAGTAAATACTCGAGGGATGTCTGTTGTTGTTGTTGTCGTCGTGCCAAACAAAGGGCATGGTCCGTCACGGGATGCAGACTGGCTCCGCCAATCAACGGCCGCGGTTCCTGATCCCCTTGCGGACTCCCATCCACACCGTCTCGAGCCTCTCTTCTCTTTCTCTCTTCTCTTTTTCCTCCCAATTCACCATCCTTTTCCCTTCAAAACAATCCTCTCTTTCCCACTGATTTTATAATACCCTTCCTCTTCAACCTCAATCAACTCTCCTATATCATAACCCATCATGAGTGCCAACTTCAACGACCCCGCGGCCAATGCCCCCGATGCGGCTGCGTACAAGGGCAAGGGCAAGGCTGAGGACCCTTCGGTCGAGATGAGCATGGATGAGGAGGAGAGCGAGGAGAGTGAGAACGAAAACGAAGAGCTGGTGAGTTCTGAGTTCCTCCGGTCGAAGTGCCAAAAACACACCATGGGATGCTGACGTTGTTTTTGTTTCAGGTTCCTGAAGGTAAATACCGTCCCTCCTTCGATTACATTCACCTCGGTCCCATCAGTTTCGCTCGACGAACTATTGAACCACTTCCTGCGAGACCTACACTACGAGACTCCTGCATCCCAGAAAGCTAACATTTCTCTTCTTAGAAGAAGACGAGGGCCAGGGCAACCTCGAACCCATCTCCTCCGAGAACATCATCCAAGGCGGACGCCGCACACGTGGGAAGAACATCGACTTCCAGGAAGCGGCTGAGAAGACCAAGAACGACGAGATGGACGACGACGATGACGATGAGGACTTTGCGCCTCAGGACAACGACAATGAGAACGACGATGACAAGATGCGCGATTAATTCCACATCATGTCGCTATAAACTCTTTTTTCCTTTTCTCGAAATCGGAAGCATGATTATCCTGGAATCGGGGGTGGTGGGAAAAAAAAAAAAAAGAATAATGAGAGGCGCTGGGTTTAATGGGAGGGAGTTTTATGCTGTTATGTCCTGTCTTCTTTTCTACGTACAGCTTTATCGCTTTATTATGACCAACTGCCGGGTTATAGTGATACCAGAAGGATCAATCAAGTTATTATGATAATAGCATACGGTCCAAAGATACGCATAGACTTCTCATACAAATAGCACAAATACATATGTGTGCAAGCAAAAGCCTTCCACCTGAGTAGGGGCTTCTATTACTACTGTGATCTTGTCAAGACAAATAAAATAATCTGTATACTGGCTCACGTGCACTAGTGGAGGCGGCCAATCAGAGCCTGACCTGTGTTTTGGCCCATGATATCGTCGGTTTCGCCGCAAGCTCGTTCTTTTTCTCCTGGACAAGACACAGCCAGGTTGTCTGGACTGTTTGATTGCTTTGACTAGTCCCATATCTGAATTCTCCGATTTTGCGCAATGCACATTTATTGATTCTACTGGTCTGACCGGTTTTGATTCCTTGTTGCGTTGCCTTACTATTTATTTCTCCGAGAAGTACTTCGTACACAACAACGACTTATGGCTTCACGGTATGAGCTACACCTCTAATCCTCCGATCTCACTTTCCTATACTCTACAGGACAACAGCTAACTGTTATATTCTAGATTCCCCCGCCAGCGCGACCCCCGCGCCGCCTCATCCCTCTTCGACTCATACGATGGCAACTCACGACCAGCTAGCAAATCGCCAGGCCGAGTGGGCGGATACGGTTACGGAGGGTATTCCAGCGCTGGACGTGATAGTGGAAATGTGAGCGGGGATGCTCCAGGTGGATTTCGGAGCGCGACGCCAAACTCCAAGTACGTTTGTCCATGACAGGCAGGATTTGTGACATGTATTGATATGAGGGTAGGGGCCAATACTCCGACGCTGTTCTATCGTCTCTGGAATCGCAGAATGATTCCGAGGTGGAGGGGATTAGTGCCAAGGTGAAGATGTTGAAGAATGTATGTTGCTTTCCAGCCCTTTTGGTCCGTCGAGTACTTGTTGACGTGTTGACCTCTTAGATGACAATGGCCATTGGCGACGAAATCCGTGATACCTCGAACCTCACCGACCTCAACGATACCTTTGACAACACCCGTGTCCGTATCAAGGGCAATATGACCCGTATGCTTCGGATGGCAGAGCGTACTGGTGTCGGCTGGCGCGTGTGGCTGGTGTTTTTTATTGCGGTTTTCTTAATTTTTGCGTATGTTTGGTTGAGTTGATGGTCCGCTTTGCATATCGCCACACTTCGTCTCGCTGGATCGTCAGTATTGTTTATTACCCTATGTTATATATAATTTCGTTGCATGTTGGGTGGGCGTTTGGGTTGCATCGTTCAAACTGTGACAGTGATCAGTTACAGGATGGAGTTATGGTTCTGCATTGATGGTGCTTTGCTACTGTCCACTGTATATTAAATACGATGGTTATCATCTAATAAGTAAAACATCTGTCTTGTACCATGGTAATAGATTATACTCCTACTCTATGTCTAGGAATGCACCCGAATCCAGACCATACGCCAGCCATGCAAGTTCCAAGTCTCATGTACATTAACCATCAAGACTATCCCTAGGCCCCCCCGTTCTCCTTGAAAACCTTCCAAACACACTTCGCCTACTCCCCCGACTCGTCACCGAAGCACGCAGATCCTCCTCATCAACCATCATGCTCGAATCCGCAACAAACGAATCCCCACCACCGCTCCAACGCTGCAAGAACCGCCGTTGTGCCTCTGTTTCGCGACCACGTAGGCGCTGGATAGATGGTGGCTGGGGGAGTCCGTGTCCATGAGCGCTGGAGGTGCTGTTGCGGAGGCTACTGATGCGGAGGGAGTTGCGGAGACTGTTTCTGGGATTGAAGAAACTCTCTTCATCGTCGTCGAATTCCGCTTCTGAGTCGGTGTGTTGCCATTCTTCTCCTTGGATTGAGGCGTCCTCGACGGCTGAGGGGATTTCATCGTCGAGGTCGCGGGCCATGCCTTGGTCGCTCATAATTTGTCCTTCGCCTTGGTTGTAGGTGTATTCGTTTTCGTCGTTGAGTTCATCATCATAGTCATCATCATGATCCTCTCCTGCGCCGTCGGCGGAGGGTATCTCGTCGTCAAGGTCAACCTGGTTATCAAAGTCTTCATACTGCCCTTCGTTGTCCTCAAATTCCTCCCCTCCCAACCCATTCTCCAGATCATATTCTTCATCAGGATACGTCTCGGGGACATCATCGTCCAAATCCCGCTCCATATACCCCTCCTCATCACCAAAATCCTCTTCCTCCAACCCCTCCTCCCCTTCCTCCACAAGCCCTTCCACATCCCCATCAGGAATATCATCATCCAAATCCCTCTCCATCCCCGAGAACCCTTCCTCCCCTTCCTCACCCTGCTCCTCGGGCCCAGCCGCCTCTGCCGCCGCGGCAGCCGCAGCGGCAGCCGCGATCTCCTGCTGCGCGGCCGCAAACGCCTCCTCCCGCTCCGCCTCCTCCTCCCTCATCCCCAACATTGTCTTCGAACACCCCGCGGGTTTGATCCATGAGTATCCAAAGTAGGCGATGTTGTTTTTGCGCGCGCGGAGAGCGCGTTCTTCGAGGTGTAGTGCGGAGAGGCTTTCGCCGGTGGAGGTGGGAGGGTATTGGGGGCGGTTGAGGGTATGGCCATTGGTGCTGCGGCGGGCGTTGTGGGTTTGATTTTGATGGGAGGTGCCGTGGGAGCGAGAGGAGCCAAACCAGAGCTCGTGGGACTGTTTGTAGATGGGTTGGTTAGCTTTGTTGTAAAGCTGATATGGGATTGACACTTACGTCGCGGGGGACGATAAGCGGAAAGGTTAACATTGTCGACGGGTTGGTCGGTGCTGAAGCAGATAGAAGCTATCCTCGCACAAGATCAAGCCAGTGGTCTTTTCTGCTCAATTGTAGCTTTGGCCCTTCAAATCTCAATGATAGCCTTTGTTTGCGGTGATCTTCGCGGCGAGGCGCAAGGCTTGAACATGCAGTCGTGCAGACTAATGGAACAAGCTAAGGTCGGAGCATAAATTGTGATTCTTGTATTTATAATTATACCCGGGTATCTTCAAATATAGTACTGCAGGTAGCGCCAGACAATGAAAATGCAATCTTGTTGTTCAAGAGGTCAAATTCGGAAAGAAGGCGGACCAAAACATCTCCGCATAGCAACAACATGGTGAGCATGATGGTATATTTCTATAGCACCAGAACATTGAATAAGGATTGTAGTATGGCAGTTACATTGGTCTACTGCTTTTCTCTATTTGTTTTGTTCTAGTTGAGATGTTACAGTGGGAGTCGGTATTGATACCTGAGGCATAAATGACTCTCCATCAATAACGTGACATTGGGATCCGTCATGTCAAATCTGCCGCATCTGCAACTGCGCCCCTCAGTATGTACTCAAGAGTACAGACCGGAATCGCCCGAGCAGTCTGCTTTCTCCGGTGAGCCCAAAGAAGACAAAGGCAGGACGGGGGAGGGTCGGGAGAAGCCGGACGGCGGAACATTGGCATGGGTCAGGTGACGGTTGCAGGAGAGTACGACGGTTCCTATAAGGGTGGAGGAATTGGGCCATCAGCAAATATTGGAATGAAAGGGAAATGTTATCCTGGTTTACTGTCAAGGAAGCCGGTTACCCGAATGGGTATGCTATATCCGCTAACCTAGCAGGGATGGCTCCTTCAATTTGGTCAGCGCAGATAGACGACTATTCTCATTACGATTATCATCACGTTTGCTTTTGTTATCATTCTAAGCCTCGGGTGTCGGACTGGAGAGTCCACCGGTGTAAACGTCGTCGGATTTAAGATCTCGACTCCAATGCCCGGGACGAATCAGAAGTAAGCATGGAGGCCCCGTGAACGCATTGTTTTCTACGTGGCTACTAGAATGTCAACACAACGAGTCACATGCCGGACATTACAGAGTACGTACTTTTATGATGAACAGAGTCCAGAGTCCTCATGCGGGGAGCTCCGGAACTCCCCGACATTGGAGGCGAACCAATTGATACATGCTCTGTACGGTAAGGTATTGATCACCTGATGTGGGGACGAGGTCCCTTTCAGAATGAACAGTGCACTTACTGAGTGCTTGGATAGGATACAGAGTAGAACTTGCATATTAGTTATGTAAATTTAATAAGCCCAACGAGCCCAGCTGTCATGGATATGAGAGTTGTTTTGAAGTCGCTGCAAGAGTATGACTAATCATTTAAGCACTGCCCCACAGTAAGACCGTGCATCTGGTTCGAGATGATCATTTACAGTACGTATAATTTACCAGGTACAGTCTCTATATACGAACTGTAACCAGTGGCATGTAAAACAATTATCAATTGACATGCTCCTGTATAGTCCGCATGACAGCAGGCAAGCACTCTGTATGCACTGAATGGCCTGATGTATCATGGATACCAGTAGTACGGAGTACAGCACTGTAAGTAAATCCTCCAGTTGACGGCCCCACTACGTTGGATCTTGACTGACGTAGTTTCAACCTAATCGTTTTGGGTCAACCCGGTTGCAAAACCCCCGCTGTTGATTGGCTGGAACCATGCTTATCTCCCACCACTCCGCGGGCTGCATCCGGAGAGTTGGAGAGACCGAGAGCGGAAGGTTGAAGAGGGTGCGGAATATCTAGGAACAGATGTGGTTTCGGAGTATGGGGTTGTATTAAACAGTACCAAACAGTACCAAACAATAGGAGGGAGCATGTCCTGGACTGTGTACGGTATACGAGTACTTATACGGATATTGTACAAGTAAACAGGCAGAGAGTAGTACTATGTAGAGAATGCACAGTAGGGATACAATACCAGAAAGAAATGGAGTCATGCTACTAGAAAGCATGATTGGCATACCCTTGT